TTGTTGCATTGATCAAGGCGAATCACGAAATGTTATAGATTTGCTCACGTAAAATGGTTTTGAGGCTGGATTCCAGCGGTAGCAAAAACGTTGTGACCGGTAAATTGTTATTCAAGGCCATTCTTTTAAAGGAGATGTTTTTAAAACTTAGATACGGAATGTGGTTTCCGGTTAAAAAATGTTCGGATCTGCTTCTCTACATTTTAATGAAAAATAACATAATTCATTTGATAGTATTTTGTGCAATTTCTTTCAAGGCCAATAGAAGATCATGTGCTTATTCTGAGTGTAAGAAGTAGTTCTTTGTTTGTAACATTATCATATAATTAAAAAACTATATTTGTTTTACGATATGTATTTGTTTATCAATTACAAATTAATTCTATTTATTTCTGAACGAAATAAATCACTAAACAATGCATTTTAACATATATTTAGTTTTTATACAATCTTCAAATTTATTTTTCACTTTATGTCGCAAATATTTCGACTTTCATTAATTCTGTTTCTCAATTAACAGCGTCAGCCGTTAGGCATATCATTATTCCACTGCCCGTCAGCTGATTTACAGTATGAATACGCAGGCTTTCATTCACTGAACGTGCAATAAAAGATTTAAGATTCGAGGTACTTGTGTAATGTACTACAAGGACTGACTGATGTGACGTCACTGAACTTTTAGCTTGCTTGGAATTACCAAGCGATAGCAAACTCGATTCTGAGTTCTATTCTTTTGAGCTATTGGCTCAATTATAGAGTTTTCTTGCGATACAAATATAAATAATTTTCGAGTCTCTGTTTAAACTGAACTGTGTCTGTTTCAGATTTATTATAGTAAATACCAGGTATTGCGCTCTAAATTAGCCATTAATTTTCTAGCTTCTTAATATTTCTGAGCAACTTAAATAAAATGAGGAGTTGATAGCTAAATTTTCCTCAATATTTAATCATGATTTAGATGTCTGAATCGACATGGAAAACTTCTTTATGTAAATAATTTGTAGGGTTTATATTTATTTTAACTAACATTTATTTTAAGTTTAAAATATTATTTCCGGTCAAGCCTACTTTCCCCTGGAATTGCCATGCCAGAGTATGTAAAATTTTAGTAGAACGCGCAAGATTCAAATGTCAGCGGAGTAATCTGAGTTAAATAAAGGGAAACGAGTCGAAAGTGTGCTTTCTCGCTACACGAGGTGGAGGTGGCTCGTTAGAAATTGAAGAACCACGGCGTGTCGGCCTGTGTGCTTGTCCTCGGCAAATGGTTAATCTTTCAAACGTAATATTCAGAAGTTTGCTGAAATTAAGATTTTAGAACGGGGGGGGCGGTGAGGTAGTTAGTTAGAAGCCTCGTAGTAGTCACTTGTTAATATTCTTTCTAGTTTCTTATTTTTATTTTACGCCGGGTCGCGTATTGTTGGCTCAAGAGCAAGCAGTGTATTTATAAAGTAATAAAAAAGGGATTTAAACCTTCTCAAGACTTTGTCTACTTTCCCGTTCTTAGCGTCACCACTATTGTGCGTGCAGGTTGGAAGCGCGACATACGAATTAATTAGGTATTTACATGAAAAGATTATTTCATGATGTCTCCCAAGAAGATTGTTGCCTGAAATAGTGCTTCCAAAAATAAAATAAAATAAAATAAGGAAGCCATGGCGGTTGAAATAAAGAAATCATAGATTTACATGTGTGGTGTAAGAGTGACGTAATTGGTGAAGACTTATGGCCTTTCGACATTGACAATTTCCACTATTCTGAAGAAGCAGGAAGAAATTAAAAAACTTGATTTAACCAAAGGAGTTACCCAAGCACTGTCCAAAACTCCTAGAAGATGTTGAGAAGCAGTTGTTGGTATAGATTAACAAGAAACAGTTAAAAGGTTGGTGTTGGAAGCTATCATAAAGGTAAACTACAGTTATATTATTTACCAGTGTTATTTATTTAAAAAATAGATTTTTATGTTGATATTTTTGGGGGTACGGAATGAATTAACTGGATTTCCATTATTTTCAATGGGGAAGTTTATTTCTAGATAAATTAGCTATGCGAGCTTAACACTGGAATGAATTAAACTCGTATCTCGAGGTTCTACTGTACAATTGAAACAAAAAGTACTTTTCCTTTTATGTGATCAAAGAAGCTGAATATATATTAAGAAAAGGGGGTTAATGTGATATTGGTTGCCCTTCTTAAAAGTCTTATCAATAATAGTGACCCATTTTTTAAAATAAAGTTCTTTAAAATTAATTCTAGAAGTTAATGTAATAAATAAAGTGTAAATGTAAAGAATTAACAAATAATTTTTGAGTTCTTTGAATATTAGTAGATTTGTGAGCACACAAGAGATGATTCATATCATTTCTAAAGAGTATATGATAAATGCCAATGTTTAACTTTTGAGTAATTAGTTTAAAGAATTGAGTAGTTGTTTAGATGGAAAACTACATTATTAGACATGATGCATATATAATAGAATTATATAATAGAATATTTGAATCTCAGTATTTTTTCTGTGTCTGTAACATACCTTCAGGACCAGAATTAAGTTAATTGTTGTTTTCAATATAATTAACCTTCAATTGTTACTAAACATTTTCATATAACTTTTTTTTTTTTTTTTTTTTAAATTTTAGAACACTTTTTTGTGGGATGTTAGGAATTTGAGAACCTGTATCCTTCTAAATTTTATGCAAGTCTTATATATTGCTTTGCTTTTATATATTTAATATTAAAACACTTTATTAGTAAAAGATTAATTTTAAATATTTGTCATATGGATTATTAATAATACGTATATATAAAAATACGTTATTAATAATTTTTAAATTATTAATAATTATATAATTAATAATATATTTTAAATTATTGTCATATACTTATTAATAATATATAAAGCAAAGCAATATATATCTTTGCTTTATATATATTAATTTTATAATTATTATTTATTTTTATATATATTATTATTTGCTTTATATATTCAATATTAAAACACTTTTATTACTACAAAGTTAATTTTAAATTTTGTCATATACATTATTTATATAACTTGCATTTTAAATTTCTGTTATAGGTTTGAAACATGTCTATTATATAAAAATTTATAATGTGTTTGAAATAAACTTAATGTTATAAAAAATTGTCAAACAAAATTTTTCATGTCTCTTTAAAGGATTTGATTGATTTTTTTTAAAAAAAAATTTTATCACATATTTTTAGGTATTTTTTCGTATTTTTAGGTATTTTTCCCCATTTAATCGGTATTTTTTCAGCTTAATTAGTTACTGTGTGGATGAAGTGCATTATGTATATAGCATATTTTTACATAGTTTCAAAATTTTTATGCATATTATTCATATGTATTTAAGATTTTGTATGCCTGTTATATTTTACCAATGAAGTGGTTAATAACATTTATTACAAACATGTTTATTGCAGTATTTTTCTCTCAGTTTGTGATTAAAATGTTGAAAGCATGATTTAACTTCCCACATGTAGCAAAACTTACATTTTAAGGGCCGTTCTCACTGGTGTTTATCTGAGCTAACGGAGTCAATTAATTCCATGTGTCAACTAGCTTCGCTATGACTGCAGTTCAGATTTTTGAACTTGTTGCCCTATGGGAAAAAACTGGTTTTGGAGATGGGTCAGCTATGTCAGTTGTGTTCATTAGCTCAGATAGACCCCAGTGGGAATGGCCCTTTACATTTCATGAAGTTGCAGTTATTGGACTTTATGTCAGGCAACTGATAGTAAGTTATTTTACGAATTGCAAAAGCTGAACAATTAAAAGCACTGGAAAATTACATGAATTTTTTTACTTACATGAATTTTCAGAATTTCATTTTCAGTTTATTTTTTTAATCACATTGGACTTTTCTGTGTTTGTTTTTTACACATTCTCATGCATAGCGTTGAGTGCAAGGGTACTACATGTATGGATAATCTGTGCTCAGATAATTAAGAGTACACAATATTTTCTTAAATGCTTTGCTGAAAATAACAAAATGAATTTTCTTTTTTTTTTTTATTTTCTATGTCAACAATAGATATAAAGAATTATCCATAACTGTAATTAGGTTGCAACAATTAATGAACCTAAATCGATTTTGAAATTATGCTGGTCCCCCACTCGGTATGTATTGTTTTTAAGTATTTATTTTTTTTTAATTTGCTTGTTTATAATTATGCACTAAGAATATAAAAATTTTCTTTATTTCCCATGTAATTTGATGCTGCAACAATATTTAGTTGCAAAACCAGATTAAATGAGAAATAAAAAAATAAGAAATGTCACTGTAATTTATAACTACAGAAATAAGTTTACATATGTATAATAGAGAGAGACAAAAGGAAGAAATTTAGAAATAAATCAGGAAATGCGTGAAAGAAATTCAAAATCAATAAATCTAAAATCCCCCTTAAATATGTTAAAAATCAAGCAATATTTACCAAACCAGTAGAAACACTGAGAAAGGAAATACAAAAATAATAAAAATAAAAAAAAATATTTAGGCAGAGGAATGCAGTTAATATTTGATTCAACGCTGTCGAGAAAAGGTAGATTAGAAGTAATTGAACACCTCTTCCCTTGGAAAACTAGTGTTTAATACAAAATTAGCTGATGAACCGTTCTGAATTATTTAATTTCAACACTTCATCCAAAATTCTAAATCCTTCCCTATGCAGTTGATTCCCAAATGAAATGAAATAGTACAAAAACAAATTTTTATGTATTAATTAAATCTTCAATATAGGAAAAGAATAATTACATTATATTTCATATATCTTTATTGTATATGTCCTTAACAACTTTATTTTGCATGCCCACCAGCGGCCGAGCGCTGAACACTGGTAGTTCATTCCGAGGTTCAAATCCCGCGAGCGGGCTGGCTGCATGGCCGTTTTCGTGGTTTTCCCCATGTGTAACATGTATACGAGCCAGTTTCTCTTAGAAAGTCCTCCACAAAGGCATGCCTCACCTTAGGCAGATAGCCCTAGTGTGCTTTGCCATAATTAAGTAAACCAAACCTTTATTTATTTTGCACTTTTAGACTAATTCTTATGATTTATTTTTTCTGTTCTGAAATCCACAAAATCCTAAAATCTGCACAATCTCTGGTCCCAAACATTGCAGATTTCTGGTATGCTACTGTACCACCAACCTCTCAAAGGAACTTTCAACTTGCTATGTATTTTGAGTGCTCTCTTGTTGTGCAGACAGTATATGCTTACAAACGTCCTTTCTGCTAGCAGCCAATGTCACTAACCATTAATATTTAGGTGGCTTAAATATGCAAGAAAAAAATTTGTAAAGTGAATTCTTCAAACAGATGCAGCCTTTCAACATCAGTGGGGCATATGATATTTTTTAACTCATTTCTTATATCATAATATAATTAGTTGTATGCCTTCTATAAGATTAATCAGGAATATCAGTTAGGTATTTAGTTAAGTTTCCATTACTTCACCAATGGGGTATACAAGACAGTGAAACTCTAAAAGACAAATGTCTTGCAGCAGCTTTTCTAGGAGTTCCTCTAAGTTCATTTTGAGTTTCAAATATTGAAATTTGTATAGCCAGTTTATTCGGTGAGTAATGTATGAGTATTTTATCATGGGACCAATGAAAGATGTATCATTAACTTTTTGAAATAAATATATTTTATATTAATTATGTTTATAGCCTTCTATGATAGAAATTAGTGCACCCTTGGTTCCCTAAAATGTTTGAGTGCCAGCTGCAGGCTCTCAACTGAATTTCCTAGCAAATGAGTTTTTGTTGCAGCAGGCATAGACAAAAGCCAGTCTTGGAAAGCATGTTTTCCCCTTAATGACCTTGCTGTAGCTAAATACTAGTTTCACTGTTTCTAAATGGGAAAAGGCAGCCTTTCTTAAAATATTCAGTTATTTTACAACTTCCTAATTATCTGTCTTTCATCTGAATGAAATCAAAAATTAACCATTTCAGATATTCTTTTAAATGATATTTTAGCACCATAAAAACTTTTTTGACATGATAAAGCCTGAATTTCCAAAAGTTTGTAGGAAAACATTCTGTGTGCTATATCCTCGGATAGCATGAATGCTTTCATTTGCATTTCAGAAATGGATTGATCTAACTGGATTTGATAATAATAATTTGATGTACCTTTTGATTATTTCCATGAAAAAATAAATGATATTGTTTGATTATTTCTTGATATAACAATATATTTATGTCTGTAAGTTTAATTTATAGACCATTTCATACTTAAGATATAAAATTTTAATTTCTAAGTTGTGTCTTCCTGTAAAAGTTCTTTTTTTTTTTAAAGTCAAATTTTCAGCTGTAGAGGTTTAATGTAATGCTTCTTTTAAACTAATATGATTGACCTTACATTGCCATTATTAAAGCAGCTTTTTTGATATCTATATCAACTCTACTTTTTTAAAACATTTCTGTCTCTTAAAGTCAGCATACTAATTTTGACTTTCGCTACTTCATTTTATTTTCTAAATGAAGTGATTATAGCGATATGTATGGTCTCCACCCCATGTTTAAGTACTTGGGAAAACAGATGTAATTTTATTTTGGAATTATTAGTTAAAAAGAGCTCCTAAGATTTTTCTTGCCTTCTTTTCTTATTATTTTCCAAAATCCATTGGAAAAGCACTTTTTTTAAAAAAATAAAGATTAAAATGAGAAAGGTACCTTAATCCAGTGTTTAAATAATGGAGTGCAGAAAAATAACTTCAAAATTTAAAATTTTAAATCTTTATATGGCTTGGTATATTATACAAGTATAACAGTGAGACAAAACTGAAATCTAGATTTTCAGTTTTATCAAGTTGAGATTTATAAATTTACTCACTAAATTCTGCAGGCTTTTGCATTTATATATTAAATCCAATTATTATTATTTGCAGACTGGTATTTAATCCCTTTAGGCACATGTCCCTTTGCTAAGATATCTCTGAACTAACACAAGTTTATCAGGTTGATACATTATTTTACTTAAGTACAGCTAGACCTCCTACAGTGCAGCAAATACATTCCTTGAAAATGACACATTGTGGAACATTGCCTTATTGGATACACCAACTTAATACAAAAACTGGGTTTTGGTTATAAAAAGAGAAAAACTGCCTTTTATAATGTAACATTTTCAACATTTTTTATATTTAGGTATATAAAAATATTTCATAAAAAAATTAATAAAATTCAGCACTATATAAAAACTAAAAAGATTATGATTTTAAGTCAAAATCAAAAAGAAACATAATGTTATGCTCACAAATTTATTCTTCATCATCACTTATTATAGTTGTTCGAGAATGTTTGACTGGCCTTATTTCAAGATCTGAGCTTGTTTCATTGACAAGTTCCACTGCAGTTCTGGTAGGTTTATGTTTAAAAAAAATCTGTCATTAGAGATTGTTTGCTCTTGCTTTTTAATACATTATAAATTTCTTGATAGGTAGGTAAGCAATTTTGAAGATTTTTAAATATTTCAGTTTTCTCTGGCAGAGTAATTCTCTAAAAAGTAAAATTCCACTTGTTTCGCCATGTGCGAACATTTTTGTATAGCTTTCAGGGAAGTTTAAGGTTTTTGTCACTGAAAATATCTTCAGAATTATCTTCAGTTGGTAAAGTTAACTGTCACCAAATCTGCTTCGTTCATTTCATTTTCTGTAGCTAATTCTAGAATATCATCAACAGTTATTTCAGTGAATCCATTGCATCCTATTGCATGGCTCAACAATATTTGCCTGACTGCCTGACTGACCATTTCCTAAATCACACTGTAAGAAAATTTCCTCATTTTTCTAACCACGTTGGAGTGAAAACATATTATAAAGGTACCATGTTGTAGAATGCCTACCTGTAAATAATATAGTTCCTTGATGAAAGTAAGCACTTTTTCCATTTTTCAGGAAGGGGGGATTCTACAGGCATTCCCTTTCATAGTGAACCAATCCTACCTCATCAATTTAATAAACTCAATTTGGTATATATCCATACTCTTGAATGATTTTTATTAATTCCAGTTATTTTTAATAGCTTGAATATAGCATAATATACTATTTCTCTTTCCTTTTTATATTAATTTTGTTAGCTATTAAGTGATGAAATTATTGAGATTTTCTCTTTTTTTTTTTTTTTTTTTGTATAATTGAAAATTTTTACTGCAGATTGTTTAATAATACAGGTAATTTATAATATATAATGAATATTATTGTATTAACTTTTATCTGAGTACCTAAAATGTGAAACTCGGGTAGCTCTATTATAGTACATGATTAAGTCTGTTTGTTTGAGTTTCTTGTAATTTTTTCCATCTGTAATATAGCTGAATCTGGGCTAGTTTCTTTTAGAAAGCCCTTCAAAATGGTATAGCATACCTTCTATTCCCACAATTTTTTTTGGGGGGGTGGGTAACAAAGCATGTAAGGGATTAGACCAGATATGCTTTACCATGATCAATTAGTCTGTTTAATGCAATCCAGTATCAATCGAAATTTGAAACACTTTTCCAACATTTCATTGACTGAAAGAAATAATAGTTTTTCATTCATTTTTCTGTGTTTTCCATCTTTTTGCCTATATTTTATTTACCATTTGAATGTCCTTGCAATATTGCAATATCTGTGTTTAATTTTCTTCATCTGAATGAACTGTTCATTTGTAGGAATATCATATACCAATCATTTCAACTTTTTTTTTGTTTTGTTTAGTTCTGGTCTTTTAGCTGTTTTGTGTAAAGATAGTTCTATAATTAAATTGATTGATATACAGTCACCTGCTGGAAGTGATGATGTAGAACCTCCAATCGTGGAAAGAACTTTGCAGCGTATGTATTTATTAATTTTTCTTTTCTAATGTCTATCGGTGCTTTTGTACGTTAAAAAAATTAATTTGCACATCCTTATGCCTATATTTGGAGAAATTTTTAGGATTATCATTTCTAATGAAACTTGAACGTTACACAGTTCATTAAAATCAGAATTTCTTCCTTTTTTCCTTTTCTCTTTTTTTAAATTTTAGATTTTAAAAGCACATATATAAATAACTATTTAATATAGATGTTCTGATCTCAAAATTCCTGTCACTCATTGAGATACAATTAGTATACAAATAGAATAGATGTTAGTGCATATAGCAATTAATGCTTTGTTTTGTTTAGACTTCCAGATTTCTATAAAACTGTTCATTATAAAATAAAATTCCATTCCTGTATTTTATTTTATGTATTTTTTTTTTGTTGTTTGTTTGTTTTTTGTTTTAAAATCAGTACTTTGCCATTTAATGGGGTAAAACATTTATTTAAACAGTTTTTGAAGTGATTTCTATTAAATTGTATGAAATTTGCAGTCTGAGCAGTGCAGGGGCCTCTGGGCACTTGGGGTGGGCACATAAGCTGGACTCAACCAGAAATTCTGGTTATAAATTTTGAAAGTTGAAGGTAAAAATTCTTTAGAAAAATAGTAAATGATTTTGTGAAAATAATCCACGCCTCTCATCAGCATGTCTTTCTGTATTGTTCGTCGATATTTAAGGACAGCAGGGTGCCGGGGGGTGAGAGTGGGATAACAACTATAATGCAGCTATAATACAGTCAAAAGTCGTTAATCCGGACTTGTCGGGACTTCGGCGATTCCGGATCATCGATTTTTTCGGATTATAGATCATCAGTTTAAATCTCGTAAGATGGCATGCAGAAATTCTAAAATTAAAAATATGAAACCCTAATTTATGAAATAAAGAACAATTATGATCTAAAGGGTATCAAAATTTACAAAAAAAAAAAAAAAAAAAAGCTTAATATTTATTTGTACTTTATTAAACATTTCTTTAATGTAAATTGTTTAAGTTGCTCATTTATGTGATAATACTTTCTCTTTAATTCTATAAACAGACATAATTTCTTGTTCAGTTACAAAGTCCCGTAATTGCTGTACCGAGAATACCGACTAACTTGTCAATAGAAATTTTTCGTTTTCACTAACCTCTCTGTCACCTTCTTCATGTCTTTATCCATTTTTTGCAGCAATTCCACTTTTTGTTTGTTGGAATCGAAACATACTTTCGTTTTGTAGATCCTTTGGAAGTTCCAGCATCGGAAATTCTATTTGACACAATCGAAAGTTCAAGTTTACTTTTATAAAATTGCTCTTACAGTCTGCAAAAATAATAAGCGGGATCCAATTCGAAGATTAAGTAACAACAACGCAATCATTAACATTAACTGAAATAGATAATTAGATAATTTAGCTTACACTGTCCGTTATACATTAATGCGCAGGCGAAAAATGTATTCTGCACTTGCGCACACGCATAGCGCAGTAGTAAAGGTCTTAGCGCACGCGTAAAACGCCTGTGCGCATGTGCCAACGCAGCACATGCGCAGAAAGTTTTTAGCTTTGAGGTCCGGATTATAGATCATTCCGGATTATGGGTGTCCGAATTAACGACTTTTGACTGTACATACTTAAGATCTAATTTTAGTCAAGAAAACTCTGAGAAATTGTCACTATTATGTATAGAATGTAACACACTGGAGAAACTAATTAGTGATACTGGCATGCCAATGTTAACTCATGAAAAAAGAATGTTATAATTTTTGTTATGTTATATCTTAGAATGTTATTTTAATTTTTACCTTTTTTATGTTATATTTTGGAATGTTGTTTTTATTTTTAAATATTTTTTATAAGAATACTTACTGTTTTGTTTTTTATTTATATATATATTTTTACAATAAAAATTAAACATTGAAATTTTGTTTTATTTCTTCATGGCCAGTGCCAAGAGGGCCCGTAGATCTATGCACCCAGGGCCTGAAATGAGCTTAAACTGGCACTGAGTCTGAGGCACAAAAAACATGGTCACTATTATAAGTCATCATATCACAGACTATAAAAGCCATTTTGCAATTTAGATGCTAGTACCAGAGCTAAGAGAAAAATATTATATACACTTATCTAATAATGTATGGAACTGTTTTTTACTCTAACAGCAAGAAAAGGGCCCTAGCCCTAATCTCATCACTTGTAATGAAGAGAGAACAATGTATGAAGTTTAGTAACTCTCATCTAATGTAACATCTTGCTTTGTTAATCTATATTTTTAGCCCAAAGGGCATTAATTTCATTTTGGCATTTTGCTTTGATTCAGGATAAATGTCGATTCATTTTGCAAACTGTTGCCACCAAATATTACAGCCCTTTATTATATTTAAAGAAATTAAATAATGAAAATCTGCATAAATGTGTTTATCACATTGTGATAAAACAATGATACCTAGAGCCATCAAATTTTGAATAACATACATTTGGAAGCCCGAATTTTAACTTTAATAAATTTTTTATTAACAAACTCAACGATTTCAAAGCGAGCAATGGCAACACTGTACCCCCGCCCCAAAAAAAAACCCTCTTGTTTTCAGCACACGAAACTGTGTATCCGGAAATTCTAAAGATATGCTCATTTAAAAATTATTTTGCAATATTGCTATTGAAGTGAATTTTATGGTTTACGGGCAAAAGACATAATATTTAATAAATGGTAACACCTAAAGCGCTAAAAAAGCCCCTTTGCGCATAATTGTAAAATCTGAAAGCTTTCAGATTTTTTATTATTAATATTTTCTTCTCTGCAGTGCTTAATGCTGTAGTTTTTCAGTCAGTTGTCAGTTGATTGATGATTTTTCCTTCTGGCTTTGGCATATATTCAATGTTAAATTCCATCTTTTGCAGTCAGATTCCCAGTGGCAAACTTCTAGCTACTATATTGAAGCACTGGTACTGTCATCAAATACAGGATTTTAATCAAACGGGTGTTGAAACACTGCCTGAACTTTACACAATCTTCAAATGATTAGAAAGACCCATAATCCATATTACTGTCACTTTTTTTTTATAAGTCTGCATTATCATAAAAATCAGGACTGCAAAGGCATGGAAAGCTTTTTTTCTGCACTGAAATACAAATGTGAAACTATTTACAATCAAATTCTTTAAAGAAATATTATTAATACACTTTAGTCTTACACAGGTCCCATTAACTCATTTCCATAAGGCAAACAGTTATCTCAGAAGCGAAATCTCCATTGCCTAGTGCATGCACCCCATTTATACTCATGTACAATGAAATGTATCTGTCTGACCTTGCGACATTAAAGCTTAGCTGGAAGGAGCATTTCTGAATGTTCCTACATGGTTTTTTCCTGGAACCACATAGAAATTCTAAGCCTGACTGCACACGTATGTGTGTGTATAAATGAAAATTTATTATCTTTAACAAGTTCATTCAGAATGAGGAAGATGCTTCCAGTATATCAGAATATATTCCAGTGCTTTTTATTATTATTTCTGAAGTTTTATTATTATGTGTGGAATGTGACAAGTCAATTTTCTAAATAATCATATGCTGCTAAAATTCATTAGTTTGCTGATTCTGGCACACTGAAAATTTTGGTAACTTATGAAGGTTTATTATGGAACACAGAAAAGGAAATTGTAAGTATAATAAGTATAAAAGAAGAAAATTGGTTTGAGGAAAGTATGTTGAGGATTTATGGTTTGCTGTATGATTGGTATATTGCTGGTGCCTGTATCATGGTGGTATTAATGAACTTGTAAGTATGGTTTTTTTTTCCCTTAATTTGGCAACATTCTGTCCTTTATTTTGAAGAAGGATTTTTAAGTACTTCATTTACTGTTGTGTGCTTTTTATTGTAAACAAATGCAGTTTATCATTTTGCATAGTAATATATGTTCAATGACTTTATAGAATCTTTTGTTAAATAAGAAATGCATCAAATTGTGATGTGTAAATTGAAAACATTAATTCTGCAGTCTTTAATGTATGAATTTCAACTGAATATTATCCATTGTTGCTCATCAAAGTGTAAAGATGTGAAGTATAACTCAACTGGCAACAGGTAGATTGATTCTATATGTTATGTTTAAAAAACTGAAATTTCACGTTACGGGCAATGTGATAGCTATGTTCTTTTAATATGATTTTTAATAGTGTAAATGCTCATGAACAGAACTACTTGAAAGTTACCTATTATTATGAATAGTCCTTATGATTTTTGCACATCAGAGCATTCAATGTTATGTATCAGAGGGAGTTCACAATTGAAAGTATTACAATCGAAGGTTCTTAATTCATAAATCATAGATTAATTCAAATGTAGACCTGTTTACAATCATGAACACAATGCATCTTATTTAGAATCAGAAAAAAAAATACATTTAACATTCCAATTAATTAAATATATACTGTCATTTTTATGCTTAAATTATCCATTATTAAAATTTTAGTAAATATTCTGGAGACTTGAATGGTACAAACATCACCTAGCAGTAGTAACATCATCTTGTAACATACCGGTAGCTGAAGAAATATACAGTTTAATAAGAATTATGAGCAAAAATGTAATCCTCAAAGAACTATATTTGTCAGGAAAAATTTACCATCTTGTTACCCCACCCCAATACTGTATTATATATTACATTTATGAGGTACATAAATTATGTGTGGTTTTTATCATTTTTATATACATAAATGCCTACTTTTATCTGTTATTAATTTCAGATCTATTGTGCTTTTTCATTCACAGCATTTGCATCTCATTCTGTCATGTCTTTCACATGGCATCCCACACAAGAAAACAGAATTTTGACCATTTCACAAAACAATCAGCTGCTGGATTATACCATTTTTGACCGCATAACTTTGGTATATATTGCTTTTTTCTTAATATATTTACACGAGAAGAATTAGTTTTGTTCTAATTAGTTCAGTTACTTTAGTTCTAACAGTTTAGTTAATTCAGTTTAGTTCATTTTAATGTAAAGAAAATTAATTTTGTCCCAAAATAATGAATTTCTGTGTTATATATTTTATGCAATAAAGTTTCTTTGAATCTTTATATTATATGTGAAAAAATATAAGAATATGTGCTTTTTCTAAGAGTTTTGTTAGTATTCTGAATCAACCTACATTCAAGACACAGTCAGAGAATATCTGATTTTCTGTGAAATATATTTGTTCATTGAAGGAAAGGGATTGTTGTTAGGCTAGTCTTTCTTAAAATGCATAATTGTTATGAAGAACTAATGCCAATCTAATATTCAGTTTTACCTAATTTAAAGTAGTAGAACAGAGTGTATTTCTTTCATAATTGCTTAATTTCTTTTACTTACAAGTAAATTTAGAATGATCAGACTTTGCTTGTGAAGCTTTTTTGCAAGAATGGTTACTGTGCTTCAAATGCCATGAAGAAGTATGGTACATTAATGAGTGTATGACACAGGTCTGGTCATATGTCTTTCAAGGATCTGCAAAAAATGATTGATAAATTCAAAGAGACCTGTTCATTTGGCATGATATCTGCTAGAGTGAAGGAAGAATTTGGTTCGATGTCAGTGGAAGATGTAGCTATAGCACTGCAAGAAGAGGCAAGAAGTGGTGTGGAAACGTGCAGTGCGATGGGAATTTCTCAATCTTTAGACATGCCTATCAGCATCATTTGTAAAATTTTACAAAACATCCTGCAATGTTATTCATTTAAAATTATGTGAATTCAGGAGTTGCTTGCTTCCCAGTATGACAGTATGACAAACTTTTGCCCTATAATTTCTTGCTTTGATGAAAGCGTAACTGTAGAATATTTTGTGGACAAACAAAGCCCCTTTTATCTCCATGGTTCAATCAATACTCAAAACTGTAGACATCTTATTAATGTCTTGAATTTGTAAAAAAAGTCGCCATTCTTCTAAAAGTGCTTCACAAGCAGTACCCAGTCCTTGATTGATGAGCTTCTCAAAAACAGCATGATGAGAGCTGCATGCACTGTTGTTATTAAGTCTTAAGGCCCGTCCACACGAGTACGCTCGAAACATAGCTGACGAACGCGCTTTTATGTTACCAGGATAAAAGCATCCAAACGAGTACGCATGCGAAGAGTGCGTTTAACCAATAGAATTATTTTGTGCAAAAATCACGTGATGCCGTAATCTAGATCAAAAGCGATCTTATTACTTCGCGTCTTCTGTATGTTTGCAGCAAGTTATCCGAATCGATGATTTTTTTTTTTATATAGCTGAACTTTATATTAAGGCAATATTAAGCGAGGCAAAACGCAAAATGCAAGAAGGGTCCGAAATTATTTTAGAACGACGCTCAAAGAGGTTTTTTTTTTTTTTTTTTTTTTTTTTACTGCTCGTTGCAAATGAAAATCGGAATTATTAATCCTATATTAGCTCACATCCCCTAGTATTGTTCAAATTTTCAGTACATAAAATGCTTTTGATTCACACTCAATTAAATACAATTTTAAACGTTAGTGAAAGGCACTGATGTAACAGTTTTTAAGATTAGAATTTTTAATTAAAAATTCTGTTTGGAATTTTTATTATTGTTGATTTTTAATTTTCTTTTTGTGACCTAAGTAGGATGACTAATTTTTTTTTATTTACGTTTTTAATACTTCAGATGAGTATCGACAGTTTGACAGACTTGCGATCTATATTGTATGAAAATTAGGATTATAAAATTGTGGGATACAGTATAAAGAGAATAAATTACTTAATGCTCTTATATACACCATCCACCATATAATAACAACTTAATATTTTTACTCCCATCCCTTGGTCTTTGTTTTTCTTTTTATTTTTGAATTAGAATGAGCTTCAAACTTTATACAGTATGAGAATTATGTGCATGATTAAATATGCAATAAAGTAAAATAAAGAGAGATTAAGTGATATAGGATAAAGAGATGCAGTATATTATTAATAATATTTCTATTTACACTGCACATTACTAAATTAAAAACAATAATAATAATGAATAAAATAAGAATGAAAAAATAATAATAGGTAAAATAAGAATATAATGATTCATGATTAAATATAAGAACACGTTTCAAAAGAGGAAAGCTAACTGAATATTACCGTCTCGGGTGAGGTTCGAAATCCACCTTTCCATCCTCCGCACAAAGCAAGGCGCTGACAATCGGCATCGTGATAGCAGTGTTTGTGAAAAAATGTAACAGTGAAGTTGTGCCAAAGGTAATTTAATTAAACTTAAAATGATGCTGTATGAAAAGTTGTAACTTTCCCAAATTGTAATTTATTTTATAACACTCTTTCACAGTCAACTGTTATTTAGAAGTTGTTATATTGCGAAGTTAGTTTTTGTTGTATTAATATTGGATATTATAGGCTTTTTATTACACATGAGATATCCAATATTTATAATAATTAGGAGATTTTGAAGGCAGAAACTTGATTCGTAGAAACTGTAATACTTATGGTGTGATAATAGTGAAGCATAGGATTACTGGTCGGACATGCTTATAAATTACAGTTTTTCCCTGTAAGAGAATTTTAAATGTATACCCAATGTATCGGTTGAGAATTGAAGAGTCGTGTACAATGCTGATTATTTTATTGCAGTATTAGTTATGATATTTCTAAGCAAAAACTATCTCTGGTGGTTCTGATGCCATATTGAAACGGTAAGCAAGAAGGTTTTGATTGCACGTGAGAAGACTCGGTCGGTATGGCATACGCGCGTTGCGGGCGAAAAAGCTGAACAGGAGCGTACTCAGTTTTACGTCTTCTGCATCACGCGAATTTACGCCGATGTCAAAAAAGTTACATCAACTACATCGGGAGCGTCCTCGTGTGGACGAGCCTTTATATGTAGTGCCTACATCATGCTTTTTAATTAGCATATTGTGACAAGTACAGCACTATCTGTTGATACAATTTTGAAATATTTTTTCTTTCGCCAGACAAATTGTCATTGATTTGTGTATATTCAGCTCATTCTGACCAGTGGTTCTTTTTTTGTAGAGCTTTCTGAAAGCAGAACTTAAATTATAATCATTCTGTGTACATATTTTCCTAGATTCCTCTTTATCTTTGGCTGTGGAACAAATGTATTTTGTCCTGAATTTACATTAATGTTGATATAATGGTTAGTGATGCTAACTGCCATACCAATATGCCTGGGTTTGAATCCTGAAGAAGGATGGATATTTGTAAATGTGTAGTATAAATATGGCATGAGGTCACTCAAAATACACTGTAAGCTGAAAGTTGTCTGTAGTTGTTTGGTGTAAGCAAGGTGACCTTTGGACCAATTCCCCATGGTTGCTATCTTTCAAAATAGTTCGGTAGTTTTGTCTCTTATATAGTGCTGAAGGCCTATGCTAATGACAGATGCACAGGGTTTGTAGCAGTCCTTACAAGTGTTTATAAGTCCTTATATTTTAAAATAAAATATAAAAACCCTTATAGGTGCTTACTTTTTCTCTAAAGCACTTATTTTTTTGGTTTTAGTTCTTATTTTTTGCTTTTAGTCCTTTTTTTAAACAAACGCACATTTTTTTTCCACATTCCAAAGCCAAAACTAAATAAATAACTTTTCTTCCTTATATGGAACATCAGATGGTGAATCGTACTCACAGAAATAGCTTTTTGCCCCTTTCTCTGCATTTCTCTGCATTTTGGTGTGCGCCAGTACAGACAGGTTCACATCGTTCTATTGGTCAAGGAATTGCAAAAGCTGCAGGAAATTCCGGTACATTTCATATTCTTTTGCTCTCACCCAATACTACACATGTTTGAATTTCTATCAAGATTTTAGTAATTTACATTCTTGTTCTGCATGGTCAGTTCATATTCGCATTTATTATGATCGGTATGCTTATATTATGAGCATATGTATGAATATTTATAATAATATATTCAGTACTGCTGCGCTTAGATAACTCAAAATGGGTAAGTGGTTTAACACAGATTAATTTTCTAAGGAATAATATTCGGAACGGCATAAATAATTCACAGCAAAGCAAGCAATGTACTTTTTTTTTGGGTCTCTTTCCAATCTGGATTGAATAGGACTAAAAGTTCTGCGGTCTACCAAGCCAAGCAAAGAATGATTTTATTCCAGAAATTTAACATAGTCTGTTCAAAATTAGAATGAAAAACCAGATTGGTAAGTCTCTTTATTAATCAATATGAGTATGGCAGGGATATCGCGTGGAGCGCGATGTATCCTGCTCAATGATAAATGTGCCACATGGGCGCATGACAGTGAAAACGGGAGGAAGCAAAGTTGTTTTCCTTTATTTAGTTATTTATTCTCCGAATATCCACAGGTGTTGATTCCGATTGCGTAATATCACGTGAAGATGAATTAAGACCCATGTATTGCGCAATAACGTTTGCGATATTTCTCAGAGATAAAAGAGTTTTACTGTGCTTGCTAAGCAGATTATTTTTCAGTTCCATTGGGCTATTTTTTATATGATGCACATAATGAAATGTCAAAAGCCATTATTTAGCTGAAAAATCTAAAGAACGGCTACAATCTAACCCCTTCCACTTTTACCAGTTACACTCCACCATCCGGAATTTTCAGATATTCGGCAATTTCTTAGTATGCCAGTTAGTTAAGCTTTTACTACTAAAGGATGACTGCATGAAGCAATTTCCCATCTTTTGATTTCAGAAAAATTCCTTTTTTTAATAAAATTGCTTAAATTACTTTGCTTGCAATATCCGTTAAGGGAAAACTGTTATACAATGAAAATTAAGAAAATGTTCAGAATTTTGATTTAAATTATTTAAATATTAATATGAGTGGAAAAATAAATTGTATTTATTTTTAATTTATTTTTAGGTGCCAAGTGGATGTAATAAATATGGCTTATTATTATTTGTTTTCTCTATTTTGAACTGAAATTTCATCATTAAATCTTGTAATATAATTTAGTTCTGCATAGCTTTTTCCCCCCCTCTCATTGTAAACTAATTCTGTAAATTGAACTGTTATTTAAAATGAAAAAAAAAAAAAAAGAATGTAATTGTTTTCCATAGTTGAGTAGTGCTTATTCTTTCTTAATGAATACCGAATTTCTCATATTTTAAATTACAACTCTAATTTTTCTTTTAAGATTATGCAATTGTGCATAATGTAATTAGACAGGTGCTTATTTTTTTCTTAAAATGTGCGTGAAAAGTGCTTATAGGCATTTATTTTTTTAACTGAAATGTGGCTATGAACCCTGGATGCAGTCTTGTGCTACTTGTCATGATAAACTTGGTGAGACTTAGTCGCAGCAATAACAACAGCAGACAAATTTTTAAAAATTGGATACTGGTGATGATAGCCATATAAGATAGCCTTCTCCAGAAGGTATAGAGGTTGGTAATGCTGACAGTTGTAGTGTTAGGCTTGGATTTGAATTTGGGAGAAAGCATGGACATTTGTAAATGTGTAGTATCTGTGCAGCATGAGAGCATTCAAATTACACAATGAGCTGAAAGTCCTCTTGTGTAGATTGTTGGTAGGGGAAGGGGATTGAAGTCCCTCAGACCCACCCCTGGGGTCATGTCCTTTAGGGCAAAATTGGGCGATATCATATTGTCAATTACAAGGTGCTCAAACGTCATACTGACTACAGATGCAGTCTTGCACTCTTTGCCAAGATAAAATTTGTCAGTTTATTCTGATCAGGTCAGGCAAGTGAGACTGACCACAACAACAACTTTTTAATGTGTATTTTATAAAAAGCAATACAGTATCTTTCATGAGGTATGGTTCAGTTGGAAAAGTTAGCTCTTTGTTTAATGCCATATAGATTTCCTATTATACTTCAGAAGAACACACACACATACACACGTAAAAAAAAGAACTTTTTAGAAGATGCTTTTTGAGTTATTGTCTTACTCCATAATCCCTCTTAGGTCCTGCATGCACATTTTTGTCTAAAAAATAATGGAAGGGCTCTTTTGTGAAGTGAAGAAATGGCTAGAACAGAAAAGTGGAAACCAAAGCAGGTGGAAGGTGAATTTAGGTATGAAATTTGACCTTCCTCAGTTGAATTCCGTGTCCTTGTAGAGTCTGTGCATCAACAAAGTATGTAGTAGATTTTGTATCTTATCATGAACAAAAATACATATCTTAAGTATCATTATGTTTCAAAATTTTGTACTAAATTTAGAAAATCTGGTGCTGGAACACTGGAGTTTCAAGGCTACTTACGGAGATATTGCTTAATCCTCAACTCAGATCTTCAGGTAATACGAGATGTTTATGATAGATGTGAGAGCATCAAATGTAAATTTGAGAATCATCCTTCAACTTCAAGAACAATGAGGCTTCTCCAAAGACCTATATTTAATTGAACATTTGAGAAAAAGATGTGCACTCAGCTGTTATTAAATTGCAAATCCGCACTTCATCATAAAAGGCACCAACTCACACATCATTGCCTGTGAGTGAAATTTTGGCCACAATTGGTGAATATCAAGAAAGTATTGTTTCATCATGATAACGCTAGACCACATACATATCGAACAATCGATCGAACAAATTGAAGAAATAAAATGTGCTTTTGAATGTAAAAGTTGCTGCAGTTGACAAACAGCTCTTGCTGTTAATTAGCTCACTGAAAATGAGAAAGAAATTACCACAATAAACTTTTTTAACTAGTAAGAATTTTATAAAATTTCATTGAATACGGTTTTTAGTGACTATAGTTGAACATGGATTTAGTTGTAAACTCTTATGTGTTTTCTCACACATGCTTATATTTAAGATTAACAATGCATTTAACATGCATATATAGAGAGAAAACATTTTATAACTTCATTAAATGAAATATTGTATATGTTCATTTTCTAGAATTGGTCTCCTACTTCAGAAATAGTATGGACATATGGAAGAAAGATATTACAATGTGTAGATAGTACTGATGAATTTTATTCCTGCTTAAATGATATATCTGTGATAATGAGAAAAAGAGCTTATCAAGGGTATGGCTTAAAGGTACGTTTGCTTATTTATTTCGCATTAATATAAAACATTTTTGACTTTCTATCTCACTGTCTGCATTTTCTTTGTTGTATTATATCAAATATCTTGTATATATCTTATTTGAATCAATATGTATGATGGCAGTGCATCACATTCAATTTAATTGAATGAGTTGTATTCAGCACAATGATTGATATTTTGAATATTGTTGGATTATTTAAAGTGTTCTATGTTAAAAAAACTGTGCATTTTAAACTCATCTTATTTAGATTTCTGATGCTAATATTTTTATTAGGTGTTTTATTTTTATTAGGTCTAATGATGCTAGTATTTTTATTAGGTGCCTAAAGTTTGGATGAATGCTGAATTGGCTGAAGACCCGGCACTAAATGGAGTTTGGATGTGGTTAGATCATATCCTTTGTCATAATTCTAAGGAACTAAAAGCATTTGAAATAATTTTTTGTAATTTTATTCATTGTGATTCACAATGATAAAAATGTAACTAATTACAGGAAAACTCTTTCATTTCAAATATTTAGCATGTGTATATATTTTACATTTGATAATACTTGGTTCATAATTAAGTCTACTGTAGTTTACAAACTAATTAAAATGTCAGGAATTGATCAAGAAATCATTAATCAAGAAACTTTTGCATAAAAGCTTTAATTTCACCTGCAAATATTTTATATTTTCCGTATTAATCTATTATAGTCAAAACTTGTAAGTTTGTGTGTTAGAGAAGGGCTTCTGCACTTCAACCATGCATGTCAGATATGATACAAATATTTACCAGCACCTGAGGAAAAGATTCTGTGGGTGTCCCCTGTCCTCAGTCATCTGCAAAAGAATGGGATGTATTAAAAATAATGAATATGATAAAATATAATGAAATATTGACTGAAGCACTTATTTGTGTGTGTGTGTGCATGTGATACTGAACGTCAAAGTTTTTCTGTGTAGCATAAATGTAGACCAAACAAAATGTGTAGAAAATATGTGTTATACAGAAAGTTGATTTAGGTGAAGATAGAAGTATTGACTTTCCATATTACCTCTAAATTTATATAATATATACTTCATCAAAAAATGTAATGCATACTTATAGTGTACTCATGAGTTCTCCATAATTTGTTTTTTGACTATCATTATATCATAATTTTGCACAAATATAGAAAATTTTGATAAATAATCTAATTGTCATGTTGCTTCCTTTTTTTTTTCCCTTAATTATTTCTGTAATGGTTAAAGCTGCTGTTGAAGCTGATTCAAAGAGGAGATCAAATCTCAGGAACCATCCCAACTATGAAGGTGTCCATTCTGTGATATGTGGAGAAAATGAAAGTTTTACCTCCAGTCAGAGTGAACCTCGACGAGTGACATGGGTTGGTCTCTATTCCACAGAGTGCAAGATTATAAAATATACTAATGAAGAAAGGTATTTATAATATGCTTCAAAAATAAAAGTTTTATATTGCATTCTAAAAATTTCTGCAAATTATTTGACTTTTGAATTTTTTACCCTAAAAATACTTTTTTTTGGGGGGGGGATACTTTGAAGATTAAGGATTTGTGTTATATTATTTAAAATTAGATTGAATTTTTTTATAAAACTAAGGCCAACTCAGAGTTTAAGGAAAAGGATTTTTGTATTACAACTTATAGATATTTGTCTGCTGTAACCTCCCCAAAGGCATAAAAATGCAGTAAATGTTTAAAAGATGCATTTAGTTCGCAATTGCTAATTAATTTTAATAATTTTGTTTTTTCCATTGTACAGAATGCTAATAAAGTCAGGAAAATCAAAATTTCAAAAATTAATATGAATGAATCAAATTTTTTATACTGAATGGATAGTCAGTAATATTTATTCAAAAGGTAGCAACTGTATGGTTCCAGATGACTCTGTATTTGTGTTATTTTTTTGTAGAATTATCTGAAAGAGATACAGTTAAGAATAATTGAAAAATTGTGAAAATCGAAGAGGCTAATATAATGCATGCATCTATTTGCAGTATTGTAATAGATGGCTTTTAACACTTCAAATTTCATCATGTTAATCTGTTTATTCAGTGCTACTTATCTTGCACTTTTTCATGGTACACAGGAAAGTTTACTTGCCTTTTCAGTATATCCTGAAGTTCCCTGTTAGTATCATGATATTAAAGTTAAGTACTGGGAATATTGTTCACAGTGCCAGAGGCAAAGAAGTGCATAGCTGTGCATATTTAAGATCAGTTGTATGTTTTTTCACTTCAAAATCATCCAAAGTTCTTATATTATCTCTCTACACTTTCTTGTGTGAGTATGAAAGCAGTGCTACTAGTGCAATCCCATTCGTCCTCAAAAGGGGGAAAAAAAATTCCAAGCAGTGAAAAATTTAGGAATTCTTAGCACATTTGGAATGAAGCTGTTATCCATTTACCACACACACACACACAAATCTACATGTTCTACAATTAATTGATTTTTGAAATTGGAGTTTTCTGCCTGTATGAACACAGTATAAAAAGGAGACATTTTTAATTGTTAATTGAAATTAATAAAGACTAAAATTTGATACTAGTACATATTTATTTGTAGACTATTCTTTGTATATAATTATATAAAAAAGTATTTTCTTGTTGATTTTTAATTGTAACTTTTACTTTTAGAGAAAGAGCACTACAGCTATGTGGTTGGGGTGCAGATTTGGATTCAAATGCATTTTTTAAATTTTTGGAAAGGTATTAGTCTTTTTGCATATTTATATTCTATATTTTGATATAAGCTTTTATACTTGAAGGTTTCAACTTTATGCACTTAATTTTAATGTAAATTTGCTTAGAAATAGAAGAAAAATTATACTTCATACCAAAGCAACTGCCATTAAAATGTAAATTGTTTCTTTATGGAGTAAATAGAATGAGTCAGTCAGTTATAAAAATTCAAAATTAAAGAAAGGCATAATGTTATAGAAAGTTATAATGTTTTGTACAATTATAAATGAAAATTCATTTAAAAATGCTCATAGATCTTTCACAGTTGAGAATGATGCAAATAGGTTACTATAAGCTATAAATACAGATGAGTTGACTTATACCATTTCAGTTTACTCCCATTTCATGTGAAAACTTCTCGCACACCATAATAAGGAATGATAATAAGTTATGACTTTGCTTTAATTTATTGACCTAGAACAGGAATTTCCAGCCTTTTTCTTGCATCGACCCCTGTTAAAAAAAATAGTTTTCTTAATTGAGCCCCTTAAATTTTTCTCCATAATATACAGCATGCAACACAATCATAATACAAATACTGAATATAAATAACTTAATAATACAGTCAAAAGTCGTTAATCCGGACTCGTTGGGACTTCGGCGATTCCGGATTATCGATTTTTCCGGATTATAGATCATCAGTTTAAATCTTGTAAGATGGCATGCAGAAATTCTAAAATTAAAAATATGAAACCGTAATTTATGAAATAAAGAACAATTATGATCTAAAGGGTATCAAAATTTACCAAAAAAAAAAAAAAGCTTAATATTTATTTGTTTACTTTATTAAACATTTCTTTCAATGTAAGTTGTTTAAGTTGCTTCGTTTTAAAAAGTCAAAAGTCTTTAATTCTATAAACAGACATAATTTCTTGTTCAGTTACGAAGTTCCCTGTTCAAGCCCGTTAATTGCTGTGCCGAGAATACAGACTAACTTGTCAATCGAAATTTTTTCGTTTTCACTAACCTCTCTGTCACATTCTTCATGTCTTTATCCATTTTTTGCAGCAATTCCACTTTTTGTTTGTTGGACATCGAACCATACTTTCGTTTTGTAGATCCTTTGGAAGTTCCAGACATCGGAAGGAAATTCTATGACATAATCGAAAGTTCAAGTTTACTTTTATAAAATTGCTCTTACAGTCTGCAAAAAATAATAAGCGGGATCCAATTCGAAGATTATGCAATCATTAACATTAACTGAAATAGATAATTAGATAATTTTGATAATTTTAGCTTACACCGTCCGTTATACATTAAACGCGCAGGCGAAAACGTATTCTGCACTTGCGCACACGCATATGCGCAGTAGTCAAGGTCTTATAGTAGTCAAGGAGGTTAGAATAGGAGGTTAGAATCCTTGGTCTTATGCGCACGCGTAAAACGCCTGTGCGCATGTGCCAACGCTGCGGGCTGCGCAGAAAGTAGTTTTAGCTTTGAAGCGGATTATAGATCATTCCGATTATGGGGTCCGAATAACGACTTTTGACTGTATATATTTAAATAACTAAGTCTACACTTGGTCAAAAATTTAAACATATTTGAAAAAAAAAAAAAGTGTTTTGTTAGACTTATATTTTATTTTTTTATTTTTTATTTTTATTTATTTTTTATTTATTTATTTTTTCTTGTATTTCATGTTTTAAATAAGAAGTATAGCATCTTCCTTCAATGCAATCAATTCTTCTTGCATCATAGTATCAAAATCGGGTATATCACAGTTCAGCAGTTCTGTGACCTATGCTGGCACATTCGAATTTTCAATGTTTTGGAATTGAACAATACCATTACATTTTTTTAATTATCTTATTACAGTACCCTTCTAATTATTGAACTTTATACCAATCTAAGACCAATATCTTCTGAGAAAGTTTTGCTTTCTTTGAATTTTGATTGTGTTATCTTGTGTTTCTGGGGTTTACCTTTTTTACATTGTACTTATTGCATAAGAAGGATATATTAAAAAAATATTTATTGGTTTTTAAAATGCATTAAATATTTTTATATATTTACCCCTAAGATTTATTTTATATGGATTTTAAATTATATATGATGTAGTATTATATCAATAATAATTATAAATTTTATTAATAATTTTTTGTAATGAATGTGATCTTGATTATCCCAATCAATTGGCAGTGCATATTCCACTATCGATCCCCTGGTCATTATTGACCCTTTTTAAAATTTCATCAACCCCCAAGGATGTATACCAACCTTGCTTGGAACCCTTGACCTAGAAGATCTTAATATTATTATTTACCTATAATGCTGAATAATTAAACTACAGCATAAAATGTGAGCGGAATAAAAAATGGAATATAACATACAATATAAAAAAAAAGACAAGTTACATTAATGAAGTGGTAAAACCCCAAAAGAACCAACAAAACAAACATTATTTAACTATAAGCAGAGGTTAATCTATGCACTCTACTTTCCAGTTTTTGTAATAAATCCTGTCACCTTAAATCATGAAAAGCCCAAACTTAGCTTTAATCTCATCATGTGGATAATAAGATAAAATTTCAGTGTTAAAATTGTGAGATCAGAATGTTGACCTCTTTTTTAAATGCCATAAAAGCATTAGTGGAAATAGAAATCAAATAGTTACATCAGGAAAAGAGTTGGTGTAAAAATCAATATATGAAACATTTCAGTTAGCTTATGCTGTTGACATGTTAACCGAAAAAATAATTTAAAGGCATTTCAAATAAAATTGTTAAATGTTTATTGCCCTTTTGCAAAACCTATTTGTTTGAACAAGGATTTTCTTCCATGTTATATTTAAAAAATAAATACAGAACAAAATAAAATGTGGATTCTAATTTACGCTTAAAACTAAGTGAAATAAAACCAGACGTAAAGAAATGGATTTCTCTTAAACTGTTCCAAATTTTGCACTTAATTTTAGAATTAAAGTATTATAACTTAAATTTTGATAATTAAAATGGTAACCAATTTTTTATGTATGCATATTTAATTCAAATAGCTGAAAGGTTGTGCAACTGAACAAATATTTTTTAGCCCAAAAAGGCATTAGCCCAGCAGGGCTATTAATTTCAGAATGGCATTTTGCGTCAAATCATTTTTCAAACTGTTGCAACCAAATATTATCACGGTGTATTGTATTTAAAGAAATTAAATAATGAAGAATCTGCATGAATGTTTCTTGCATTATGAAATAACAATGGTACCTAGAGCCATCAAATTTTGAATAACGTAGTCTTCCAACCGAAGATGGGTGCATGCTGAATGAATTTCAAATTTGTTTTATTATCTATTTAAAATTTTGCAGAAACTTTAACGAATATTTTTTATTAACAAACTCAATAATTTCAAAGCAAGCAATGACAACACTGTAAGAAAAAAAAACATTTTAATCTCCAGTGTGCAAGACTGTATATCAGAAATTCTGAAAGTATGCTGTTTTAAATATTTTGTGATATTGCTGTTGAATTGAATTTTATGGTTGAAGAACATGATATTTAATAAATAAAGGTAACACAGGAAACATTAAAAAAACCTTCTTTGGGCATAATATAAAATCTGAAAGCTTTCATTTTTTTTAAATATTTCTATTTAGACATTGAAAAATAATCATTGTAAAATGTATTGGTGGTACTAAAGGTTTTCAGTTTTTATTTAAGTGGTACGCGTTAGTCAAAAGTTTGAGAACCACTGGTCTAGACAAGCAGTGACTTGATCCTCTGGCTTTTGGACTTGAGCAGCTGAGATTGGGTGGTGATCACAGTATGAGTTCCTTGCTGGACATGGCATACTCTAGAGTACTTTTTAAATCCTTCACATTCGCCATTTTCAGAGCTTTCTGTATTTCAGGATCCCATATGCCATCTATAAAGTATTGCAGGGACAGGATTTCCTTTGTTTCTCTCGGGCACTCCAAAAAGGCAAGGTGAGACAGCGTTTCAGGCATGTATAAATGTTTAAAACTGCCAGTATTGCTCCCTGCCACCGTTACAAATTTCTTTAAGGTATCAACTTCTTTGGCGACTGTAGAAATCCTGTCATCAATTTATTGTTTGATTTGTTGTTGAACGGCAGAAATTCTTTCTTCAATTTCTCCAACTCTGTTTTCAACCCTGTCAATTCTGTTTTCCAAAGCTTTTCTATTATGCAGGTAATTTCTTTCTTTTTTTTTAATTTCCCCTTGACGTGCTTCAATCTTTTCTTGACCAGTTCCCATCTCCTTAGACCGCCTTCATCTCCTCTTCAACAGATTCTTCGCTAGCTCTTGTCTCTACTTTAACAGCTTCATCTCTTCTTTAAATGCAGCAAAGGCTGCTGTCAGCTGTCTTAACTCTTGTCAGCAATCACTCTTGTTAGTGGTATTCAATCCCACTTCTGACATCAAAAAGTGTTGCATGCATACGGGTTCATAATAGATTGACAGTACAAGTCCGATGAAAATTAATAAAATTTGTTCTTATTAAAAAAATATAACAGAATGCTGGAACTTTCGTACAAGTGTTCAAAATATCACGCAATATAACCGTGCATATGGATTCATAATAGATTGACTGCACAAGTCTGATAAAAGGTCACAAAATTTATTCTTATTTAAAAAAATATAACAGAATGCTGGAACCTTCATACAAAATATTCATACAAGTGTTCAAAATATCATGCAATATAACCAGTAGTTATACTTTAAATGACTAAAAACATTAAAATATAATGCAGTTCAAACGAAAGAGAAAACTAATTCAGATATCTCAGTTCGCGTGGAACTAAGTAAATTGCATTAACAGTAAATAAACAACTGAGCTGAGATGTTTATCTCTGGATTTTTAAAGCATTTTATCGGTCACGAGAGAGTCCTAGTAATTTCTTTGCTTCTCGACATTTCTGGAAAGCAAAAGAATAGATTTATAGTTACAGGTAACACAGTAGGCAATAACATTTTTTTCAATGGGAGTATAAATTACAAGATATCTATTTATTAAATGTTAAATGTACTTGCTTCTGTATTCTGACTTTTCCGGCATAGTTTTCTGTTAGAATATATCTTGTGGTGCATTGCACGGTGAAATAAAACAATTTTAATTATAATTCTTACTAATATTAGCTATCCAAGTATAAAATTCACAACAGTATTATTATTTTAAGTATTACACAGTTGTCAGTAGTAATTTCATAAAAAAAATTCAAATATTTATTTGCTGATCTGTTATAAATCCGGAAACCAGAATGACTATTGTCTAGTACAAAATCCTAGATATAAGTATAGCATACCAAATCTAAAGTTACAAATTTTGTATAATTTAATAGAAATTTTGTATGCTTTTAATATATTATAATATATTTCAATCCATGTTGAAAATTTCTGAAATCTATTCCAACATTAAGTGAGGTTTATTTGTGTTCAGATAAATTGTGCTTCATAACCAAATGTAAGTGATGCATATTGATTCAGACATAATGCAAGAGATGAGATGAAGGAAGTAAATGTGAATAGTTAAATATATTTGTGGTTTTAAAAATTAACTTGATGCAGTGAATTAGTTGGAAAAATATCCTTTATGTATCCCTATTTTTTCTTTTTTAAATTTCTTATCCTTAGATTAGAGAGCGATGGTCATTTTACAAGGGCAGCAGCAATCGCGGTATTTAACTTGGATATCAGAAGAGCTATTAAAATGCTTAGCAAAGGAGCTTTGTCTAAACATTATAAAGGTACAGTAAATTTCGTCTGATATATTTTTCAATGGATTTAAAGAGATGGAAATGATGGCAAATTATTTTTTATGTATGGAGTTGCCAAAAAAAAACTGTAGCATTCTAAGAAAAGCTTGTAATTGATATATAAATTACTATATTGTATTTTATACAATTAATTTATATAAAAATGCCCTATAGACAGTATTGAATAATACCAAATTTCATTTTCGTATCCATTTGTACAAGATTAGAAGTCATTTATTTAATACTAATGATACTTCAAAATTTCAATATACAGTTACCACTTATTTATACAAAATTTGTGCTACCTACTTTTTGATTAAAAAAAAAAAAAAAAAAAAAAAAAAAAAAAAAAAAAAAAAACACCTGTGTTTTTATTTTCTTATACGAAGTAAAAAGGAAGTATTGTAATCGTGAAAAATTTTGGGTATCATATTTCAACGAAAATAACCATTTTGACCTTTATCGAATGCAATTTAATGATGTTTTTGCATGACATCTGTATGTAAGGACAGAATAAAGGACTCTTCCCCCCAACAAATTATAAAACTGATTTAAAATTAATTCTGAAGAGGTTTTTTTCATGGCGCCTGTACGCATGTATCTTGCATAACTCAAAAACAAGTAGCCTCATAATGTTGAAATTTTATATACAGGACTGCTATAATATGTAGATGTGCACCTCCCATTTAGATTGCAACTGGGCACACCAAAAGTTTATAAATATATATAAAAATGATTAAAATTTTTTTAATTATGTTCTGATTAAAATTTTTATGCATTTAGTTAATTTGCATGCAATAATTGTCGAATTATCAACAATTTGAAAGTTTTTTAACTCTTTCGAGCCGGGTAGCGAAAACGCGCGCTTATCACGGAGGCCGGCAGTGTCTTACGCGAGCGTCTCTCCAGGGCCGGGGGCTTTTTTGCTACTAAGCCTTAAATCCATGAAATTTCCGAAGTATAAACGCATTGTTTAATAATGCTCTATAGAGTATTTAAACGGCTTATGCTTTATAGATATTTATATATATATACTTTAATTACTTTATTTCTTGTTTAAATGCATATTTTACACATTTTATTTTAATTACTCGCCATTTTATGACTTTTAACATTCATCTGAAAACTAAATATATTACTTAAAATTCTCTTTTCGTATGAAAAATTTAAAAACAGGGATCTACACACAGTCCTACGTTACGTTCCTTGCACTCGTAGTAACTCATTTGCCGTTTTGGAGGATTTTTCCGGGAATGTGAACAAACGAAGCATTGTCGTCTCATTTTCTTATCAGTCTCTTCTGAACAAAGTTTTGGAAAACATCTTTCAGTTAATCTTTCAGAATCAATATCAGAATAACAGAATTTCAGAATCAATATCTGAAATATTTTGCATCATTTCTGCTATTTCATGCTTTGTTAAACATTTTCGACGCTTCTACATTGCAACGGTAAAAACAGAAAGAATTCATGTCTAACAAGATCTAATTATTTTCTAAAAACTGAACTGTAAGCCGAAATACTCAACGCTTTAGCGCATATAAATCTTCTACTTACAATAAACAACTACCACATGCGAATAAAGTGCAATTTAAAGAGACGTCATAAATCACGCCATTCGGAAACATTTAGTTCCCCATTTGTTTATATAATCAAAAACACGTGTATGTTAGTCATGCTTCTCTCATTTCGAGTAGAAGGTCTAATGTACATGTATCTGAAACCTGCCATCTTGTGGCAGAAATTATAGTTTCTAAAACATTCCAGGATACTGTCACAAATACGTGACAGTCGGTAGTAAATGGGAAAATGCTCTGGCACGCCTGCGTGTCGGCCGGGAGTTGAGTGTGTTCGTTGCTGGCACGTAGACATGACAGTCAGCACGAAGGGGTTAAGGGCAGCTAAGCCTAATTTTTGATTACCATAGCAGCCATATTTAATTACATTTGAAACTTAGCAGAATAGTGGATTTGTTACCAATCTAGAGAAACTAAACTTCGCAACAAAAAAGTAATGTCTTGTTTTATTGTTATGAATTAAATTATACTTAATTCATTTTGGAATTATCATTTAAGTTATTAGCTTGTTTTTGTGTAAAAGCTGTAATTTTAATTGTAAAAAGATTTTTTTTAATCATTTTAACTGTACTTGGGTGTTCTATGTTTTTCTATATCTTTCAATTTTTAATGAGACTATTTTGAATTATTATGTATTTTTGCCTTTTCGCAAAGTGAGAACTGAATTAATGAGTAGCGCATGCGCATTAGGTAAGTGACGCTAAATCGTCTGCGAAAAACTTGCTTTTTTACATTGTTTTAGATTTATTGTAATATTTGAATAGTACTTGTGGTAATTCTTCCGATGATATCATTCTTGCACACTCTTAGTTATAAAAGGAATGAGATGTAACGCTGTTAAGTGAACCTTGCACCAAAGTGTCATTATGGTATATAAATATAGTGAAGTTTAAATATTCTATTGTGGTTTATGTGCTATCGATGAAGTAGATTTAATTCAAAATTCGTGACTGTTAATTCAGTATGTTTAAATGAAATGCAGGAAAATTGTGTATTATTTAATATTCTGTACAAGGAAGTCATGTGGTGTAGTCATGTGGTCAGGACACTTAACCGACACCAGTTAGCTGATGGGATGTTTAACCGAATAAGTTATACAGTCAAAATTCGTTAATTCGGACACCCATAATCCGGAATGATCTATAATCCGAACCTCAAAGCTACAAACTTTCTGCGCATGCGTCACATTGACTTTACCGCGTAAGACTTTTACCGCTGCGAATTTGTGTGTGCGCGTGTGCAAAATACGTTTACGAATGCGCGTTTAATGTATAATGGACGGGATAAGCTAAGCTAAAATTATCTAATTATCTATTTCAGGTAATGTTGCAGATTGCGTTGTTCCTTAATCTTCGAATTGGATCCTGATTATTATTTTTTGCAGACTGTTAGAGCAATTTTATAAAAGTAAGCTTGAACTTTCGATTATGTCAAATAGAATTTCCGATATATATTTACTAATATGTAAAGGATATACAAAGCGAAAGTATCTTTCGGAGTCCATTAAACAAAAAGCGGAATTGCTGCAAAAAATGGATAAAGGCATATCCTTTGTTTACCTAAACTTTAACGTTTGTTTATCTGAACTTTGTTTATCTTTAACGCCGCAGCAGCGTGCAATGAATTGGAAGTTGATCTGTCAGCACTATCCTTATCTTAAGGGCAGATGTTTTTATTTTATTTGGCTTATAATTGCTTACTCAATGTAGTATTTCATCTCGATGTACTCCGTCTTTGATATGATTTTGACAAATTAGTCGGTATTCTCGACACAGCAATTATAGGACTTGAACAGCGGAACTTTGTAACTAAACAAGAAATTATGTCTGTTTATAGAATTAAAGAGAATGTATTATCACATAAAAACGAAGCAACTTAAACAACTTACATTGAAAGAAATGTTTAATAAAGTAAAACAAATAAATATTAAGCTGCTTTTTTTTTTTTTTTTTTTAAATTTTGATACCCTTTAGATCATAATTGTTCTTTATTTTGTAAAATTACGGTTTCATATTTTTAATTTTATAATTTCTTGCATGCCATTTTACCAGATTTAAACTGATAATCTATAATCCGGAAAAATCGATAATCCGGAATCGCCGAAGTCCCGACGAGTCCGGATTAACGACTTTTGACTGTATTGAGAATATTAATATAACATATTATATTGAAAATTACACATTGTGACTTTCAAAACGTACATAATATTATCTATTTACATGAGTGATCTAGTTAAATCTAGCGTCGATAGATGGCATCACGTTCCGGTGACTTTTCACGATCTGACGCTTTGCTTCGCCCTACTTTGTTTGTGGCCGCCTCTTTCTGCAGCTTCAATTATGAATAAAAAAAATCTTAAAGAATATTTTACTTCTACATTAAACATTATGCACTAGTTTAGGGCTATAAACATTAACCTATGTAAGTATTTTAAGCGAGAAGCGTGGTAATAAAATGTTACAGAATTTTTATCTCAAGGATGGTGGCATGATCTGCAAATTATAGAGGTCACAAATAATTTATACCTTTGCTGGTCTTAAAAATGCACTTTTTTAAATTGTTTTTAATAACAAAATAAAATATATTTGTTAAACTAACCCTCACCACCATATGTTTCTATAAAAAAGTATACTTCAAGAATAACAATAATTTTTATTGCATTATTCAGATTTTTTATGAGAGGGAAAGAAAATTTCATTAGTGAGAAGAGACAAACGATTTTTTAAGGGAAGGAATGTAACATGATGTGATGAGCAAAATAGTAATGAAACGTAAATATATTAGAAATTTGAAAGCATTTGGAAAAGCGAGATTGGAAAATTAATATCTATAAGTAAACAAGAAAAATTATTAATGATGTGAAAGTTGATTAAATGAAGAAGCTTTATGGATAATTTTTGAAGAATGGGATCTTCAAAAATTAACTGTAAAGCTTCTAAATTAAAATGTAATTAAGTGACCGCTGTACTTAAAAAAAAAATTCTTTTTCCTTTTGAAATTTAATTCATATTGCCTGACAAGAAATTTCAGCACCTTTTTCAATTTCGCCAATATACACCAAACAGCACGATACATATCAAGCAATGCTAAATTAACACAATAATTAAAAGCGCGTGTGAGATCTTCAAGAATCGAAAACTGAATTTTAATGATAAGTGAAAAAAAGAACTTAAATATTGAACTTATGGAGAAGTCGAGAAATTTTGTAATTGATTGTAAATTTAAATAATTTTTGGGTACGCGCCAGCTAAGCGTCACTGTTGGCTTAGTGTCCTGTTGACTAAATGTCTTAGACAGTTAACTGTCCTGTAGCTAAATGTCCTGACGGGGAATTCTGTGTGTCGGCTGAATGTTCTGTCAGCTAAATGTCCTGTCGGCTAAGTGTCCTTGTTGGCTAAATGTCTTGTTGGCTAACTGTCCATGTTGGCTAAATGACCTGTCGGCTAAGTGTCCGTGTCGACTAAGTGTCCCTGTCGGTTAAGTGTCCCGTCGGCTAAGTGTCACAGACCCATATCAAATACCTAGATGTATCAAAATCGGATATAGTAAATATGATAGATATCTTTGACTTGCATTTATATATTTATTTTTTATTATTCTTTGTAGTTTTAATAAAATTTTAGCAAGGTTTAATTGAAAAATTACTAACTCTTAAAATAATCTCTTTCTCCCGATATTTAACCATTCTGTGTGTATTAGTTAGATATGCTTTGAAAAAAAAAATGTTGAATAAACTTTGAAATTTGGTAATGATATCATATATATATATATATATAATATATATATATATATTATATATATATATATATAGTGGTTAAATATGAAATCAATCTCTGTTTTATGCTAGGGCAATTTTTAAAGTAAAAATCATTTTATGGGGAAATAAAAATTCATTACTTTTCTTATTACAATGTGAATATAACACCAATTGCCTCTTTGCCTAATCTTCCTGACTTATAAACATTTCTCAGATTAGTAAATGGACTTCACAACCCTTCATTGATTACATCTTGTCCCATCCACTGAACTAGTTAGTGACAGTTTGTAGGGTGCTGCCATCTGTTTGCATTTGTTTGGAATCCAGAAATTCTCTCAATGATGTTAAAAAAAAGAGTGCAAGGTCTAGACTGTAGAATATATTATTAGTTATTTTCCAAAGTTCTGCAAAAAACTGTGTATTTTCGGCAAAAAGAAAAGTCACTATGGAGTAGTTATGTCTTATTAAGGAGCAGATCTCCTGACATTTTAAGTATGCAAGGTCTGTTGCCGTTTCACAGTGTGTAGAATTAATGAGGCACTTGGAGGGGGGGGAATCAATAAAAATAATACCTTCTTGGTCTAAAAAAATTGTTACCATGACCATCAGGTTTATCTGCTTAACCATTTTGGCATTAAAATGTGAAAAATATGCCATGTATTATTTTTAAAGATGTAGTATAGCAAATATGTAGAATAGAGTGTAGAAAAAGTTATATTGGTGTGTAATTAATAATAAAGTCTTCAAATTTGATCTCTAGACACAGTACTTTACTAATTTTTGGAATTTGAATTTACAGAGAGTATCAATTTTATATTTATATAATGCGTTTTAAAGATGAATAATAAAATATTTAGATCATTTTCTAAGTGCTAAATTCTAGCTATCATTTTTGCTTGTGTTTTAGTTTAAACATGCTTAAGACATGCTCAGTAGTTATAAATACAGTAATAATTAACAATAATAGTGTTCGAAACAATATATAAAAATGTAAATGACATCGTGAAGATTGTTACTACTGAAGCACATATTTTCTGAAATGTGTATGTCAACAGTGGTATCTGTGGCTTTGTTATAACAGTTATGTGCTTACGTCTTGCATTATTATGAAGTTTTTATTTTTCCTGTAAATAAAAATATGTTTGCTAGCATATGCTGCATGCATCAGTCTTTATCATAAATTTATATAAATAAGATGACAATATATCAAAGCACTGGCATGTGGTATAATGCATACTTAAATTTTATTTGGGGTAGGGGGAAAGTATATGGTGTGTGAGGAATAGACATATTTATAGTTTCGAATATATAGTTCAAAACCTTTGATCTTGTTTTCATAATTTTTTTACATTGGCACTTCATGTTATTTTATCTTATATTCATTCGTAGTAGTTCATGTTGATAATAACATGAACTACTACGAATGAATATAAGATATTTTATTATTTTCATTTTATAAGATAATTATTTTCATTTTTATGTTATATTTTTATAAAGTAACTTATTCAAATAATTAACATTTTGAAATGTTTATTATTTTAATATAGGTTCAACTGATTTAAATGCCATAGCTATGGCATTAGCTGGTTACACAGAAGATAAGTCAGCATTGTGGAGAGAAATTAGTAGTTCTCTCAAATCTCAGTTATCTGACCCTCATCTCAGAGCAATGTTTGCTTTCCTTACTACAGAGAAAGATAGCTATGAAGAAATTTTGGTTAGTTTCTAAATTTTATTCTTCTTAAAAATTTGAATTATGAAGCAATCAGAAATTAGAATGCATATCTTACATATAATTATCAATTCTGATATCTGATGTGCTACTATAAAGAATTTTAAAACCTACAAGGAACCTTTTGAAAAAGGCGATCTGAAACTTCTCGTGAGTAACACATGATTTTTATGCATGCAGGAGTATATTCAGGATCAGATAATCCACTACATATTGCTAGATTAGTAGTCTGAAATCAAAATCTTAAGTTGCAAAATTTGAAACTTTGAAGGAACAATCATGATCTGCATGATTATCATGTGCTTTACTATAAAATAATTATCTGTATATATTTTAAACTTCAGTTTTTCTTCCATTCCCTATTTCTCCCCCCCCTTCCCCTTATTATTACTTTTTTTTTTTTTTTTTTTTATTTGAGACTCACAATGCAGGAATTCATTGTAGTTGAAACTGCTGATTTTTCAAAGGAATAGTATGGTAGTTTAATGATATTTAAGCAGTGTTTCTTTATACAGAAGCAAAGTAGGCTTAAATCAATTTATGTAATAAATAGGGAAATATATAAAATCTTATAAGAGAGGTCTAAATAGATTTTGCCTTTTTATATTTCATTACACAAACACCATAAAAATATACTTTGAAATTTATTAATTTCCAAATGATGAAAATTAAAATGGGTTTGATTTGGAAAATTTAAACAAAATAACTATTATATCTTCGTAATGACCTCTGGCATGCTAGAGAGAAGGGGTGTTACAATAAATGGCTGCTATAATGATAATGGATTTATTATACTCATATCAGTTCAGGACATCTTGCAGTAATTATTATAATGGGATAGTTGTTATAACAAGTGATCATTTTAATGAGTTCATTGACTGCATTAATCAATATTATTATTAAATTTTAATTTGTAACATTCTTAAAGTAACACTAAGATAAATGTATCATTAATATAGTATCACTTCAATTAGTAAACAAGTAGTATGTTTGTTATAAATATTGTAACTATATAGACATTTAAGTATTTTTAGCTGTCATGTAATCTTAATTTTTGTGAGTATGTAAGGTACTTTTCCCTCCTTCCAACTTCTTTCATGGTGTAATTATAGCACATTTGGTACATATTCGATAGGTCCAGGGTTTGCATCGTGGCAAGGGCATTGCACATTTTTCTCCTCTTCTGCTTCAAAATAACCTAATGACTCTACAGTGGTGCCTGAATTAAAAGGTGGTGGACATCAGTTTGACACCACCAGGATTTGGTGATTGGGTCCCCTAATCCCCGTTACCCTTGAAAGAGAGAGTATATAAGGTATTTTCTACCTCATTCCAGCATACCTTCATGGTGTAATGACAGCACACGTGGCACATATTTGAGAGGTCCAGGGTTCAAGACCCGGCGAGAGCATTGCACATTTTTCATGACTTCTACTTTAAAAAAAAAAAAAAAAACTTGATGCCTCTGCAAGTATACCATATGAAAGAAAAATTTAGTCTCTTCTTTATATGCCATCTGTGCAGATGTATATAGTTACAATATTTCCTTTCTGTACTACTTAATTTAACATTCACTCTATCTATTAATGTTACTTTTTGTTATCAAAAACTTCTTCCAAACAATGTACAATATAAAAGCATTGTATAGGCATAGCCATCAGTAATTCAGCTGTAAAGTGATACTGAAAGTAGAATTATAGCTTCTTACTTTTATTTTAAATACTTTTCATTATTTTTCATAAAAGAAGAGCTCATAAGAAGAAGTACAAAGTAAAGTGTATGTAAAATGTCATAACATTGAGCATAAAATCTTGGACTTATTCTTTAATAAATTCTAATGATTAATAATGATTGAATTCTTTAATAAAATCTCTAATAAATTTTGTAAATTAAAACCTCAGAATACAGTAAATACTCAAACGTGCAAATTTTCTATAATAAGAAAAAAGAATACTGTTAAAATCTAGGGTAATTTTTAAAGTTTAATGTCAACTCCCAGTCAATTATTTTTTGGAAAATGCATTAAAGAATATATTCAGTAAAAAGAAAGAACTGCTGAAATATTTATAGATTTTCTCATCTTAAAAACTGACAACCCCTGTTATAACATTCTGAAAATATTTGCAGTACCATTAAATAGAAATGGAGTTATAAATTTCATATGATGTTGATATTTAGCATTTAAAGATATAAAAATATTTATTTATTTCCTTATTTTCTAATTCATAAAAGAATTAAACTTCTTTTGGAGTACATATTTTTTCTGTATCTACTGTTCTTTTTTCAGAATGAAAGTCGTATTGCTGTTCAAGATCGACTGGCTTTTGCTTGTTTATATCTGAATGATAAAAAGGTAAAATTTTTCTTGAGACAAATTCCCTTAACAATTATATGAAAAGTATATATCAGATATAACAGGGAATTAAAGTTGTAGAATTTTTTTTTAATTGACACAGGGTTGCCACGCTAACCTGAAAAAGTCAGGGAATTCGGAAATTGACTAAAAACGTCCGGGGAAAATCAGGGAATTTAAATATTTTAATCAAAATGTGGAAAAGTTGGAATTTCATACAGCATTCCTGCCCAAAAGCGATTTTTAACCAATATTGGAAGTGAATCACTTTTCTTCACGAATTATGTATCCCATGAGCATCATTCAGGTAGCTGATATAGAGCCAGTTTTCACAGTTACAATCAGATTGTCTTTTAGAAAAGCAAGTTTTCAACAACTCTGGTTTCCAGTAACATCGAAAATCGAGAGATTCGCATGCGCATGTGCAGTGCATGTTGAACAAATAAAATGCCTTTCCATTCTCATATAAAACAAAGTCGGTTCAATTCCAGTATACAGTATACACAGGATTTGACAACATTATTATGAGCAACTTGTCATAAACCGGACATTTATGACAAGTGGAAAACGGGTCACTTTGGTGTTGGCGACAATTTTCAAAATCATGTTAGGATGTACCGTATACTAGAATTTTCCCACAAAATCTTTTAACCCTCTTTTATCTTTTATCAGTGGTATTTTTGCAAAAATCCTATTGCTGAGCAAGGAATAGAGGCACAAATACGGTACATTTGAAAAACTTATATGAGGAAAAGTCACACTTCCCTCCTGATGATCTGTGCACAGGCAGCCATGATAAAAACATATGAGGTTTTTTGTGTTTTTTCAAGCATGAATTGGTTGCTCATATTTATTGAACATCATATTGCTTTTTTACTGAATACTGTATTGTTCTGTCAGTAAACCACAGAAGCCATTACAGTTGAGCGTAATATATTCATTAGTGTATTTGAAGAGTGGCTTCTTCTCTTGACATAGGAATTGCAGTGATCCTTCATGTAATTGATATGACTAGTTTAAATACTTCACAGAACTATGAATAGTTCTGTAGCATACACTGTTAGCTATCCAAAATGCAACACTTTGAAGAACAAAAGATATTAAAGCATATTTTACTGGGGAAATAATGTAGAGTAATGGTAAATTGATTAAAATTACCATCCTGTTAGACTTGTGGAATACACAGAAATTGGTATTTTGTGTAACTGCCATGGCTGTTAGTAAGTGCTGAGATGTGTCTCATCACTGAAGGAAAGAGGCTGTGGATGTGTACTTAGAATGTGTCAGTCAATGGTGTCTTCATGTGTTTCTAAAATTCATCTGATGTAGCCCTGAGTGTTGTATGATGAACCACATGTTTTTCAATCATCGATCAAATGTGTTATGTAATTGACATATTGGGAGAAAGGATAAGACACAAGGCTACAATTCAACCTGGTAGCAATGAAGAACTTTTGGGCATTGTGGGTCATGTGTGGTTATGCATTCATTGTCTTGTTGAAACTTGCAAACAAGACTTGAAGATAAGGCAGAACAACAGGCTCCAAAAAATCAGAGATGTAATAATGACTGTTATATGAGCTGGCAATGTGCTTTAAGCAACTGTGAGAATAAAATCTAATGGTACTCCAAACCATAACTCAGGTGATGAATTGGTTGGGCAGTGCATTGCACAGGGGTTATGATGTCTGTCAATACGCCAAACTCGGATAGAACTTTTATGGTAGTGTAGGTAAAATTGAGATTTGTCTGAAAAGACAGTTTAATTCATTCATGTCCATTCATTCATTCTTGTCTGGTATTTAATGTAGCTGCAGCATGTAATCATAATAATCGGTGTCTTGAAGAGATTCCCATCCTATGCGGATAATGTGAAATGCTACACGCTGACACACGTTGTACAACAGATCCTAATTCTTACACTCGGGTTACTGATGTTGCTATGTGATTTGATATTGCCATGTATACAACATGCACGTGCAGTCCTTCCCACTGGTTGGTCAATCTTCCCTGCATTCATCAATTTTATTTGTGCGTGTTTGTGGCTTGATTTCATTCAATGTGAAAAAACCTTTTTTTTTTTTTTTTTTTTTTTATGGTCTCTATAAGCCACAGTTTTCTCTTGTCAAACTCAAGAACTTGCTTAACGACTGCTTTTTTTTTTTTTTTTTAATCAGGCATGCAAAGAATCTACAATTCTAGTATTTAAAAGATCCTATTATTCTCCTTTTTTTTTAGTACATCTAGTTGGAATTACTGGTGTGCATGATTTGCATATGTGCTGCAGTACTAATCGATTGGTGTGCATGATTTGCATATACACTACAGTGCTAATCGTTTGCATGAATGTAAATTCCAAGCCTATTGGATACTTCCACAGGTGTTGCATTTTGGGTGGCCAGCTATTATATGTAAATGTCTTGTAATGCATACATTTATCTAACAATGTTTCAGACGTTTATTTCTTTCTTAATTTCTAAAAAGAGTTATCTATGTAATGTGTGTAATGGTTTAACCCCTGTTAATTTGGATGAATAGATTTTGTTTAGTTTCTATTTTGGTTAAATTGATTTTCACTTTTTACTGGAAATCTTTTAATTTAATTCATATTATTGTTTTATTGTTATGAGTTTTGCAATGCATTTGTAGGATAATTAGTTTATGTATTATTACATATTTTGTAAAATTTATACTGTATACCTGACATATAAATATATTGTTTCTTAGCTTGCTGATTTCTTAGATGGCCTGAAGAAAAATATGACAGAAAGTGGTAATTTAGATGGCATTTTATTAACAGGTAAAAATTTTTATCAGATCATCTTTTAACCCCCTGAGTAGCATAACTGCTTTAATCCAGTCATAAGATTTTTTTATCATTTGGTTAATCTTACCTTATTATTTAAATTATTTTGTTTTCATATTGATTTTAATGAATTAATATTATCTTAAAGAGAGTAATTACGAAAACAGAGATTAAAATAATTAATTATACAAATTTAGCTAATAAATGCAGTTAAAATACACTTTTTCATAAGCAGATCCATAAGACCATACTACTGAAAGTGTTAAGATGCAGAATTCCAGTTATCCAAGCTAACTGCAACTGTAGCCCAGCTGAATAATCGCGTTATCTTTTTTTTCTGGGAGTCAAATATGTACCTGTTTCTCTTTCACTTAAAATAAAACAAGAATTTTTATTTATGGAAACTATAAAATTAAATATATAATTAATCTTTTCCTGACTCAAAGAGAATAAATGTAATGAAATAAGAGTAACATCATGTTTAATCTGATTCTAGAAATATATATATATATATATATATAAGATATAACAAAATATGATAGCTGTTTCAAAAAATAATTGACGACCTCAAAATTAACATTCTAAATTTGGTAATCTGCCCCTAAATTCATCTCTTCTCACAGGTTCCAGACTTTTCTATCTTATGTGAGGTAACGTTTTAATGCAGATGCCTCTCGTCCAATCAAATTACATCTAAACCAAAACTGTGAACTGAAACTTCAGCCTTCTTGTTATGAAAGTACTATAACCTTCCCTCCCCCCCCCACATAGTTTTCCTGCTGACAAGACGCGTTTACACCATGCTGCTGCTTTCTTAAGATGACGTTCTAATTAAAAATGCAATTTATGTATTCAAATGTAATTAGGAAGTATCTTATTTGAAAAAGGATGATTTGATATGCATGGAAAAAATAAAGATTGTGATTTTTCAAGATATGTTGTGCTAAATTGTGTCATCATGCCACCTTCAAACCACAGTTTCATTACAATAATATGGCGCAGCCGATTTTCGACCCTAAAGGCGTGGAACTTCAGTGCAGTTTATTTCAACTAATCTCACATCGTGTAACGAATGGAAAAAATAAAAAAGGCAACTATTCATCTGAATTCCCAGTCAAGCCACTACGGTCATCTACGCAGGATTGTAAGCTGTTGGGAGATCCACTGCTTTCATCTACGCATTTTGAAATCATTACATATATATATATATATTATATTATGGTTAAGCAATCATTGGTTTAGATAGCTGGAATATAAAAATATTTTATTTTATTTAGTGGCAACACATTGCTTTTAAATAGTGGAATTTTGCGATTAAAAGTGAAAGATGAATATTTTATAGTTTGCTGAATGGCATTAGTGTGGCATGCTGGAGATAAAAATGTTTTATTTTGAGCAGTGTTACCACAGCTTACTTTTAAATCAATGATTTTGTTAATAAAAAATCCATGAAATTCTTTTAAAATAAAAAATTAATTAAAAAAATAAAATAAAATAAAAAGGAGTCAAAATTTGGGCTTCGGAGTGCACGTGTTTGGGTGGAGTTTTTTCAGTGTATGTTCAAAATTTGATGGCTCTAGGTGTCATCATTTTTCTGAAATGCAATTAAATCCAAAAGATAAATGTATTGTGTTTTGCTCTGTTGCAACACATTTCTTTTATATTGTTAAATTTTAAAATCAATTTGAAATATACTAAATATCTTATGCTCGGCTGAGTGGGAATAAACAAAGTTCTTTTATCGCTGAGTTTTTATTCAAAAGTTCCTTAAATTCATACAAAATATGAAAAAAAAATCAAAATTTGGGATTCGAGGTGTACATGTTTGGATGGAGAGGTACATGTGTTCAAAATCTGGTGGCTCTATGACAATGAAAAAAATTAGTGTTGCATTCAATGATAATAAGTGGCCTCAAAGACGAATAAAAAGTTTACATAGCTAGAATTCTATTGTAATCCTTTCAAAAGCTCAATGCAGTTACTTTTTCTGTGGTGAATTTTTAATTTTGAAAAAAAAAAAAAAAATTCCTCTAGATATAAATTTTCTGTTGAATGTGTTCTAATTAACATTGTTTATTTACTTTTACATTTTGTTGTTATGTAATGTAAATGGAAACTATTTGTTTACCCATTTTCAATGGATATTGCAGGTTTAACAAATGATGGTTTATCATTAATTCAGAGGTATGTAGATACTTCAGGTGATGTGCAAACAGCAAGTTTAATTGTTCTTCACACACTACCTAGTCAAATCTGTAAAGATCCAAGAGCTCAAGCATGGGTATCCAGCTACAGAAATTTATTAGATACATGGAAGTTATGGACACAAAGGTATCTATTCAAATTCAAACAAATTTGAAATTAATTTACCATGTTTGATTATTAGCTCAGTATTTTGGTTGTTATTATGCTCCTTAGGTGTGCCTTTTGTGAAATAAATGCAATAAGGTGTGCATTTTGTGAAATAAATGCAATAAGAGGGAGAACTACAAAGCATATTTTATTTGAAAATGATTTTTGCTCAGTTTGATTATTAAAATATGTGTAATAAACAATAAAATGTATTAAATTATTATTTCAAAATTTTTTAAAATTTTAGTGGTATGTTATAGATTTTTGTTTAATTTCCAGTGCTGTTATTTCAGCTTTCAGTCCCTTGTAAAATAGCATAATAAGATATGATATATACATTTATACATAATAAAATATTGTAAAATGTGTTATGCTAGGAAATATTTTGTTTGAATACTTTTTCATGATAATATATTAGACAACATTGTTAAAATTATCAATAATAGTTTCATAGTTTAAAAAAAATAAAATCCAGTTACCTGTATTTCTAGGGTATATACAGTCAAAAGTCGTTAATTCGTACACCCATAATTCAGAATGATCTATAATCCGGACCTCAAAGCTAAAAACTTTCTGCGCATGTGCCGCGTTGACACATGCGCATAGGTGTTTTATGCGTGCGCATAAGACCTCTTACGACTGCGCATTTGCGTGTGCACAAGCGCAGAATACATTTTCGCGTGTGCATTTTATGTATAACGGACGGTATAAGCTAAAGTTATCTAATTATCTATTTCAGTTAATGTTGATGATTGCATTCTTCCTTAACTTTCGAATTGGAACCGGCTTATTATTTTTGCAGACTGTAAGAGCAATACTATAAAAGTAAACTTGAACTTTCGATTATGTCAAATAGAATTTCCGATTCTGGAGCTCCCAAAGGATCGTACAAAACGAAAGTATGTTTCGATGTCCATCAAACAAAAAGTGGAATTGCTGCAAAAATTGGATAAAGATATGAAGAATGTGACAGAGAGGTTAGTGAAAACGAAAAAATTTCGATTGACAAGTTAGTCGGTATTCTCGGCACAGCAATTAACGGGACTTGAACAGCGGAACTTTGTAACTGAACAAAAAAATTATGTCTCTTTATAGAATTAAAGAGAAAGTATTATCACATAAAACGAAGCAACTTAAACAACTTACATTGAAAGAAATGTTTAATAAAAGAAATAAATATTAAGCTTTTTTTTTAAATTTTGATACCCTTTAGATCATAATTCTTCTTTATTTCATAAATTACGGTTTCGTATTTTTAATTTTAGAATTTCTGCATGCCATCTTACGCGATTTAAACTGATGATCTATAATCTGGAAAAATCGATAATCCGTAATTGCCGAAGTCCCGATGAGTCCAGATTAATGACTTTTGACTGTATATATATATATATATATATATATATATATATAACCTAAAAAATGTGCTACGTGCACTTAAGTATTTGAGGATCATGACTTGAACATGCCTTAATTTTGAAATAATGCACTACAGACGAGCTTTACTATAAGTATATTATTATTTTTAGGCTGGAAAGGGTAAATAACCAAATTAATCAGACTTAAGAGCTATTATGTCATGCACCAGCTCCATCATCATGTATACTCCACTCCATTTAAAATATCATTACACATATGTTATCTGTCTAATTTTTACATACAGTGAAATATATTTGAAATGAAAATCCTTGACTCCAGATAATTTTGGTCTTCTGTGGTAATAACTGCTATAGTTCAGTATTGATTTTTGTTTACATTCTTGAAAATACTGGTAATTTTCAGGGTACTTACATATTATCGCAACCAGGTTGATGCTATTTACCCTTCCGGTTTCGAATTTGAATAAGTTGCAGAATTATTTTTTCGGCGGAAATCTTTTCGCTATTGCTTTTTGCACTGATTGAAAACCATATTCGCCATAACCATGTACACGTAGACTTATTTTTACTTAAAAAAAAATCCCAGAATTGCACAAAAATGGCATTGCGCACACTCGACTTTATCCATGTACACTGCTATTTTGCATGTGGAGATTCACAAAATTTTCCTGCATTTTTGTGCAAATTTTTGTAATTTATGAGAGAATAGCAGTGTACATGGATAAAGTCAAGAGTGTGCGCAATGCCATTTTTGTGCAATTCTGGGATGTTTTTTTAAGTAAAAATAAGTCGACGTGTACACGGTTATGGCAAATATGGTTTTCAATCAGTGCTAAAAGCAATAGCGAAAAGATTTCCGCCGAAAAAATAATTCTGCAACTTATTCAAATTCGAAATCGGAAGGGTTTAATTGCTAATAAATTACAAAAATTTGCACGAAGGTGCAGAAAAATTTTGTGAATCTCCACATGCTCTTTTTACAAAACTACGTATAACACATAGGGTTGTCGTAAGTAGGGTCGCCAATGGCCTGGTTGCGTTAATACGCAAGTACCATTTTCAGAGTTAGGTTTACAAGAGGTTTCATTGTATTTTTATGTTAAGTATTTTATAATTTTCTTACATTTTAGTATTTTTTCATTAGGGCTATGTTTGATGTAAATTGGTTTAGTAATAATCCACATGCTAGTAAACCCACGCAGCAAATTTTTGTGAGCTGTAATTTTTGTCGAAGGACAGTTTGTAATTACCTACAGTTTCGACCACCATCTGGAACTTCACGATTCTCACAAGTTCCAGCTTCATCAGCTAACAAAAAGGTAACCGTGAAATAATTATTTTATTTTGAAATTAATTATTATGATTATAAATAACAAAATATGTGTGTGTTTATTCAGACTAATAATAAATTTAAATGAGTGAATAACTAATTTTTCCCCATTCATATATAAAATATTGTCAATTTTTCTTATTCATTAAAAATAAAAAATATTTTCAATTTTCATTAAAGTGAGGAGGGACTACTAAAAGAAGATATAGCAGCAGGATTATCAAATTCTTTTCCTTTAATTGAAAACTGAAAAATGACATTGAACCAGAATCTGTTTCACTGCCAACCATATTTCTTACTTTCTTTTTGTTTATTTTTATTTATTTATTGAGAAGCTTGTTTTGAGTTTCTGCAAATAAAGTCATATTTAATAAGTTGATTTTATTTTTAATTTGATGTTTCGTACATTAGAAATATGGATGAATGATGAAATTTTTGCATGTAAACTACATATTTATGACTTGATTGACAAATTTTAAATGTTTTTATTTGCAATATTTGATAAGTAGAGCTCATGATCCACAATTTTAATAGTGATTTTAGTAATTTAATATAAACTGTTATAAACCCTCAATTTGCATGTAGTGACTTGATTTATAATGTTTGCGAATGTAAGGAAATCTGTATAATCATTCCATAAATTATAATGTGATAACTTAGCTGTATGAATGAGTTTTGTTGTTAACATAAAATGCTAAACATTATACTTGACATTACCAGTTACATGCTTCAATGCAGATATCATGTTGTCCTGGATGTCGCAAGCCCCTTCCACGCTGTTCTTTATGTCTTAGCCATATGGGTACACCTGCAGGCTTGCATTGGCAGCGCCCAGCAGATAACAGTTCAGGTAATTTATTATTAGCTTTGACTGTTATATCTGTGTTTCTTTGTCATTAAATAATTATATATTATGCTGAATATTACACAGACCTTTTCCATCAGCATCAGTCAAAATTCAGTTTCCCAGTTATTTGATTACATGTCAACTGCAACATACAGAAAATCAGTCAATTATCTTTAATAATGATATACATTATCTCTTGACTTCCATTCAGTGAATGCTATCAAAGCAGATTTCATATCGCATACTTTAATATTTTACATATATGCTGTCATAATTTTGTAATGTATTATTTTTCCCATTTCGTTCTTAAATTTTACAGACAAACATACCATTCACACTTAGTCTGGAATCTTTCCAACATACCCGTATTTAGTGAATAAGTATTTTCTTTTTCTCTTACAAGTAAATGTTTATATTAACTTTTCTTGTATGTTTTCATTTTTAGATAGAAAGAAACTGACTGACTTTTCAAACTGGTTAACATGGTGTCAAACTTGTCGGCATGGCGGTCATTCAGTACACATACTTACGTGGTTTGAGTAAGTAAATATATTTTTGATATTATTTTGTGTGACCACAATAGTTAAGTATAAAATATTTTTTAAATAGAATCTGTGGATTTCTTTTAAGTAACAGTCCATGAAAGTCATTTAAATATGTTTTCTTTACACATTCTAAAAATATTATTTCAATAAAATGCACCACCTTACTTTTAGACTTCACTTATTCACAATCTTTTCACATCTGTTTTATCTCCAGTGGTATTATAGAAACATATATTTGATTAAAAAATATTTTTGATTCTAGTTTTCTGAACTTATCAAATAAATGACATAAGAGTAGTATACTGAAATTCATACGTGAAATGCAGAGGTTGCTTCGAAATGATTATGTTTGCTTGTGACAAATAAATATTTCTCTTCAGCATCTGAAGTTATTCAAGGAGTAAAATAATATGTATTCTGGTAAGAAATCCGCATATATATTTCTCTAAGAAATCTTTAAGTTCTTAAATAAAATTCAAAAGTAGTACATAAATTTTTCATAAATACAAAGTTCCTACTCATTAAGTTTTCCTCAAATAAATCTCAATTCATTGATACCAAGAGTACATATTTTTATGAACAAATAAAGAATACAAAAGTTTTATTTAGAAAGTTGTTTTGTTCGAAGATGAAAAACTTATTTCTTGCAGTTGTAGAAATTTTGTAAAATCGTCTGTTTTAGAAAAATATGCATTAGTTGTAATACAGTACATAGTTCCTGATCTAGAATTGTTGGGACTTCAGCAATTCCAGAAATTTTCAAATGTTAGGCTATCAGTAAATAACTGTGTTATAAAATCAAATAAGAAATAGTTGTAAATGAAATGATAAAGCATTTATAACCTTAAACGAATCAAAATATAAAAAAAAAAAAAATTACACTTGTTTGTTTTTATTAAAACATTTCTTACAATGTAAGTTCTTTAAACTGTTGTGTTTTATGATAATACATTCTTTTTAATTTGATATAGGTAAATACATTAAAAAGTCCAAGATCACATCCGTTGCGACTAAGGCGATTCCGGATATTAGATCATTGGTTTTAAATCTAGTAAGATGACATATAGAAAGTCCTGTAACTCTGTGCCCAGAATTCTTCCTATCTTGTCAGTTGAAATTTTTTTGTTCCCAACAGCCGGTCACTTTCTTCACTATGGGTAGTGATATTTTCTGGACTTAGAACCATACTACAGATTTCGTTATCTATTAGTTAATTCATGATTGGGGCATCGTCACTGCAATGAAAAACTTCGTTACCACTTTTCTCAAATTTCTATAAACTTGAAAATTCACATTTTGTTTGTTATATCTGAACACCTTCAAACTCACAGCTATCATCAAAGATTAGCTAGCATCTGCTATACACTATTGGGACATGTTCCGTTAAATTTTCACTTACTTCTATCACACAGTTATGAAGTTAAGCCTGAATTATATTAGTTCAGTTATTTATTATACTTAGACATATTTTCCTGCACATGCTTAAGGCTTATCCAAGTCCCGAATAAATATATCCCCCCATATGCTTATCTATACCTTCCTAAATTCTGAAAATTTTGCATCTCAATGCCTTCCCTATATTCTAAAGATTTTGCCGTCCCTTAATTTTTTTGTTCAGTGCTTCTCTAAAAATTTTACTGAATTCTGCCACTAAGCTCTGGGCTTGTGTGAATAACAAATCATTTTTCAAAACTCAAACAGCTCTAAATGTAATCTTTTGTCCTATGAGTATAATTTACAAAATATATTTTTTCCGTGTGGAAAGAAATTTCTGTTAAATTTCTCCTCTCAACACTTTGCAATGCAGTTAGCTGAAACCTGTAATTATCACCAAACATTAAAGGTTACCATGCTCTTTGATTATTCAGTTACTAATATTTTTTTTTTTTTTTTAATTTGTTCAGACATTGCTGTGTCTGTCCTTTCTCAAGAGCTGTGGTGATGAAAACAAAAAACAATAAATAATGATTTGCCAGGTTGGTGTAAGGAGTATATATTATTCAGTAGGCGTAAAATCAACGATGTTTCAATGTAGAATCTTTTGGTTTGAGACATATGCCAAGCTAAAAGGTGAATATAGAGCCAAATTATTGATCACATGGATTTATGTTAATAAATGATTGTTTCTTCAGTATGGAGGGGTTTTTTTTTTTTTTTTTTTTTTTTATTTGGTGCTTAAGTTAAATTAAGAATTGGGGATCTCTACATCAGAGGTTCTCAACCTTTATTTCTTGCCATGCACCTCTTTAACCATTGCTATCATCCCTCTCTTTTTTTCTCCCAAAATTCAAAAAAGATACACAAGTTTATAATGTGCTTTCTACATTAACAGGGTTCTTACGGTCCTTAAATTTTCTGGAATCGATTTTTGGTCCTTAAAAGTCCTTAATTTCGTCCCAAATCAGTAGAAGGTCCTTAATTTTAATCATCTGAAGTTTCTGTCTGTTTTTACAACTGCCATTTTTAATGTGAATTAGCATTTTGGAGGAATATTTTTGGCAATTCACTGATGTATATGGTTATCTTTTGAATGGGTTCAAGGATTATAATTTGTTTTTATTTCTAATATTTACTCAAGTTTCATGGGATACTCGAGTTTCTAAGCAAGAAGTGTAACATAAGCATTTCGAAATTCATTTTTCGTAATAAAGAGCTCTTAAACAATTTTCACTTTTGGGTATGTGAATTCTTTTATTAAACGGTTCTAAATTTGGCGACTTGTCAACATTTTGGCGATTTTAATATCAGTTTCAATAAAAAATTTTTATTTCCGAAATCTGAGAATTTTTCGACGATTTTTTTAAAACATCATATTATTGATAAATTTCATTAAAATAATCGTAATATATTGGAATTATATTTTAAAAATAACATTAAAATAAAATTTTTTTTATTTTTTGCTCTCATGTTATAAAGTTTCATTTTGGCAAATTATACAAAATATATATACAAGGTATAATGCTGTAAAGCATAATTTACGAAACAGCTCTTAGCAAAAGCAAAATTAGCTATGTAATTTAATAAATTTAATAATAAAGTCTTCTTTTTAATTTTTTCATAGTAAGCGTTTTTCCTATGTAATCGTGTCAGAATATTCAAAACTCTCAGAATATGCAACAGTTTTCTCTATAAAATTAATTTTACACTTTTTCTCTCCAAAATATTTCTGGCTTTTTGCTGTTACAGAATTGGTTGGGATAATATTTCTTTAGTATTTTTGACATTGCAGCTTGGAAAATTTAGAAGGATTTGAAGGCAAGATTTATAGACCCACAATTCTAGAAGATTCGAGAAATATGTGACAAAATGAAAAATGTCTTCATGGTATCAGCACGTAATGGATGTATTTTACAGAAAGTTTGCAATGAATTTCTTACTTTTTGGAGAACGTCTGGAAGAACAATGAAGACAATATTTAATGTTTTCATATTTGAATCTTTTTTTCTCTGTTACTTATTTTTTTTTTTTTTTATTTTCTCTACTTTTCACTAGACACAAGCATGGAAATATCAAAAATACTTCTAATCTTATCACTTGGGCAGCATTATAGACAGTGACATTTTTTTTTTATAAAGAGATTGGAAAACTTACAATTTAAAAGATCCATCTAATATGTCTTAATGCATCATACACAGAGCTGGCACTAGGCATTTTCCCCATCTATGCAATCTCTGTGGATCCTAAATTTGACTGCATAGTACCTTTCTAAATTCTGCTTCCAATGCCTGCTCTAAATCTTAAAAGTTTTGCCTTTTCTAGATTTTTGGTCTTTGGTGTGTCACTAAATTCTAAGAATTCTGTCACACCAGCTTTGTAACTGGCCTTTACCATATATATTTTATATTTCTTCTGAATTTCATATTATTAAAGAAATTAAGTTAGTCTTTTTTTCTATACATTCTAAATGCATTTAGTGTTTTTTAGAAAAACAAAAATCCTTAATTAAATCCAAAATTTCTAAAATGAAAAGGAAACATGCTGAAGAAAGAAACTGAATACATGAAGAAAATTGTTCTTCTGACATACATAAAGATATGTGCAGTTATTATTATGTAAATTACCCAATTGTTTATGATTTCAGCCTTTACTATAATTTTCCGTTTCTGTTTCCTCATATGATAGAAGATTAAAGCCAGATTAAATAAAATTGCATAATCTTTGACCACTAGTCCACATTTTTAGTTTGAATTTGACTGTTCCTGTTTAATTACATCACCTTGATTGACTTTGTTAGCATCAGAACATGCCTTTATGTTTGTTCTAAGTACTTTTTAAATAAGAGGCTTATTTAAATCTTTGTCTGATATTGTAGTTACTTTCAGACCTAGTTATAATTTGCTTCATATCTATCGGGGGTTTTGGACTATTTTAACTTTTAGCAGATCAAGTAAACCCTCATAAGTACATTGTGAAGTGGTTGACAAGTTAGGAGATAAAGCACGCAGAAACTAGTGAGAGCATTGGTTTGCATATTGAGGCAAATCTCTAATTATTGTTAGAAAAGGAAATTGATATAAACTAGCTAAAATGTTTGAGAAGGCTTCAAATTAAAATGATGGATAAATATTTTATTGAGTGTTGTTGTTACAAAACATTTTGTTTTGTAGCTTTTAATGTGTAATTATTCTAATATCGTTTAAGAATCAGTGTCATAAATTACATGTATTTTAAACTGTGGAATTTTATTAGATTTTGATTTTAATAGGGATTTTTTAAAATAAAATTTAATAGTGGCCATGTAAATCCATAATGACTAAGGTTACCTATTTACCTAATTTAATTATTTATAACTGCTTACCCTTAAAAATTATCTCTATATATTAAAGTGAATTATTGCCTTTCATTAATACTCACAAGTTAAAACACAAAAATGTAGAAATTCAAGTGAGACTTAAAATAATACAAAACAACTTATCATCTCTGGTGCTTGAATGGCTTATTGGAACCTGAAAGTATATTAACTGGGTTACAATCGCTGGAATTCTGCACAAAGCTACATCACTAACTGCATCAAGCGGAGCCTGACTAACTTTCAACACTTACTTTAAACCGTGCCTACATCAGGCCTTTCAAGTTTGTTCTAATCAGCAGGTCTCTCTCTAGCAAGCAGCAGCGGGTGATAAAATTCTTTTTGTGTATGATCATGATCTTACCTTACATATTCAAAACTAAATTTACCAAACAGTTTGACTACGTGTACCCCTAAACAAAAATTGAAAACCTTTAGTACTACCACTACTACTACCACTGCCAACCTTAAACAAAGCTCAGATCGCATAATTTACAAGTGTTCAGAAAAACTATCAGGTTTGGGATTTAATTTTTAATAAATAGTTAAAAATACTTGCTTCTTGTGTACCACCTATTTTTTTCTTATGTACCACCACTGGTACGCATACCACCAGTTGACAACCTCTGCTCTAGACTGATCAAGTATGTGACAAAATGAGACATAAAAAAAATCAACAGAGCTAACTTTAGTAAACGTAAATGTCACTTATCTTCTTTCAAATATGTCTAACCTATTATAAGTGTAAAATAGTTAATGCTCCTTGAAAAACTGCATGAAGTTTATTTTATTCTTAAACTTATTAATAATTACATTAATTCATGTTAGTAATAATGCATACTACTTTAGAGATCTATTTTATTTTAGGAAAAAAAGTGAAATTCAAGCATAGAATAATATTTTAATTGAATTTTTCATTCCCATTTGCTCATAGGTCCTTAATTTTTTTCATTAATGGTCCTTAAAAGTACTTAATTTCGTGTGCAAAAATGTGTACGAACCCCGATTAAACAAGAAAAAGGATAGAAAAGTTTTATAAATTTGTTGTTGATAAATATCAAAACATGAACAAATGTAGTTTTTTATACTCGTAAACTAAAACTAAATTCTTAACAAGTAAACAAATGACCTCATTCCATTCTCCAGATGGGAAGTCCTGCTCTACATGTTTCCTTTTGAAAAATATCAAATGTACATGTGCAGAGTGTAGCTAAAAAAAAAAAAAGTTGCTGGTACTCTGGAGGTCTGTATTTTAGATGATTCAGTTGAATTCTTATGAAACAGATGAAATCCTTTCATTTTCTACAACCTCTTTAACACTTTTTTCACTATTCATAGAAATATTTTCTCAATTTAAAGCCATACTACCAGATTTTGCCATCAAATTGATGAGTGATGATTAGGGCATTGCCATTATAATGGGAAACTTCCGATATATCATCTTCATTTACTAGCAATCACTTCTCCATCTTCCTTCACAAAGTTCATTAGTTGGAAAATTTTGCCTTTTGTGATATACAGACATCTTCAGATTTGTGGTTATTATCATCACTATGAAATATGGTAGCTGGCCATAAATTATGCCAAGCATTTTTTTAAAATATCTGCAGACGTGTCCTCCAAACAGCAGATTTTATCTTAAAAGATTATTTTATTTCAAAACCAGAAGAACCTTACCAGTGGAGGATAAGCAAATGTATGACAAAAGTTCATATATAACTTTTCATAATCATACATAGTTTTGAAATAAAAAATGGGTAGCACTATTGCACACATCCTAATATTGTAATTCCAAAACATTTTAGTTATTTAAAAACCATGCTTGATTTAAATGCTACAGTATTATTTTTAAAGACTAATTATTTCATTTTCTAGGCATCATAATGAATGTCCAGTCACTGGGTGTATGTGTAAATGCATGACACTGGATGCTGTCGCAAAATTAAGATGTGGAACAAATAGCTGAAATTCTTTCCAGTGAAGATGCTTCAACTGGAGCCCAATGCTTTTTGAAGATCATTTTATTTATTAATAAAATTTTTCAATGTATTCTAAAAATTGGGAGCAAACTAATTTCTTCTCTCTCTCTTTTTTTTATTTGTTTAAAGAAACAACGCAGAAAATATCAACAAAATCAAAAGTTTATTTAAAGAACAAAATCAAAAGTTTAAATTTAAACAACAAAGTTTAATTTAAACAACAAAATCAAAAGTTTATTTAAAGTGCAATTCATTTCCTTTGCAAATACATTTTCGTAATGAAATACAACATTAGCTAACACATAAAACACAAACTAAAATTAAATGAAAATTAGCAGATGTTGAATGTGAAGCACGACAACCGAAGAAATCATAGATGACATTATCAATCACTATTTCCGTATAGTTCATGCCATAGAAATATAATGATCACGATGGCGAGACATCAAGAGAATTGCTTCATTGTATAAGCTGAGATCTATAAAATAAAAGCATGCTCAAAATTAAAACAATTTTAATCAAAATAAAACTGTCTAATTAGATGTATGTTCACTGGACATGGCTGTTTGTAGAGATTCAACAGGAGGTAAGGAATTCTCACAAAGCTTTCTAATATATTTAAAATGTGTTACATTCTTGATAAAGTCCTGATCAAACTGATTTTAATTTAGACTTATTTTCTTTAGCTGTCAAGATTTTAGTTCTTTTTTACTTACTGTCTATTTTTTGTACGATTTAAATTCTATTCTTGTTTAGGCAAAACTTCATCCACAACTAGTGAGAATAACCAATTGTCAGCTAAACGTTGGAAATGCAGATATGATGTATAAGCTAGACTAAATGCAATGACATTATTATTATTATTTACATTAATTTTGCCCGTTAAGAAAACAAGATGTTTATGTTAATAGTAAAATTTTTGAATGCGCCATGTTAGAATATATGCTATAAAATAATGGACAAAACATATGAAATACATAGCAAATTTCAAGTTTAAAAAATGAGAAATAATGTGCATTCATATGCAATGATAGTTAATTTAAAACATACTCATCTGGAACGTTTATTACATAAAAACTAATTAAACTATTAAAATTTTTAACATACTTTATATATACATTTTTTTTAATACTGGTTTGTTGTTTGACAAAATTAAAGAACTTACCAAAATTTTCAGTAACATCCCTCTCAAAAGGAACTATATGTTGACCTTGGATTGTATTATTAAGAGAAGCTATCCCATGAACCTCAACAATCCCTCCTATATCGTAAACCTGCAACATAACATATTATTATAAAAACCTTTCTCTTTTTTTAAATTACATAGGCAATTCAAATCATAACAAAACATTTTAGACACTTTCTGTTAAATTCCAATGCAAAATATTTTAAAGTACACATAAAATGCTATTTTGTGCTGTTTAACAAAATTTATAAGATGCACCTTTTAACAGATTACGAAGTAAATCATCTTTCTCATGTTCTTAGCTGCTGATAATGGCATAAGTTAGTTTTTCTTTTCTTTTTTTTTTTTTTTTTTTTTTCTATTTTCTATTTTACGTGCAACAAAAATTTATCACGAAACAGTGTGATTTAGGGCCAAATATAATCGTGATGTCATAGTATGCTCATTAGATATCTACATAATCCTGGTTAAGTTTTTGATATGCCAGCTTGGAAGTATTTGGATTCTCAGAAAGTTTACAAAACTAATCAATTCCAAAATGCAGGATTTGAAGATTTTATAGTTAATCATTGATAAAAAATTTATAAATCCCATTACTGATACACACACAAAACACTGAAAGTTTAGCACGATGATGGAATAAAAATCATCACTCAGATTCATATTTAGACAAATTTATGCAATACAAAGCTCATAACAATGATGACTACTTTGCCCCTATTTTAAACGCAAACTGTGAGGGGGGAAAAGAAAATTACCTCCTTAATTACAAATTATTACTTTTCTGTACCGCTTGCAAAAACCTATTTCATCAAAAAAATTATGTGTTTATTATTTACATAATTGCAAGAAAAAAGATGATTTTTCATGACTGAAATGGGATTAATCTTAGTTCCCTGTACTTATTTCAAACCATAGATTCGGCATCTAGGAGGTTCAGCCAAGGATGGCCAACTGCTACGACGAGTGCCGATGACCGATATTTGACATTATGTGGATGCAGGAATAGAACCGCTACTCCGACTCTTCTTAAATCCTCCCTTGCTGCAGCCACCGGAATGTTGGTGTCAGCGTCAACTGTGCGTAGAAGGCTTCACAAAGGTGGTCTGTATGTGAGGAGAACAACCATTTGCGTGCCGCTCAAGTCATGCCGTAGAAGGGACCGTTTGCATTGGGCACGACAACATCTCCACTGGACACCTGAGCAATGGAGGGCTCTTTACGGACGAGTTCAGGTTTAGTCTAGAACGCGATAGTAGGCGTTATTTGATATGGAGAGCACCTGGAACCTGTTATCATCCGTCAAACATCCGTGAAAGAGATGCATACGGAAGAGGCAGTGTCTGTGCTTGGGGTGGCATCTTTTTGGGTGGACGCACAGACCTCCATGTCTTTCCAAGGGGAACCGTGAATGCTCCGGTTTACAGAGATGACATCCTTGATGCTTATGAGCGGCCATATGCGCCGGGGCAATAAGTGATGCTTTCCTGTTACAGGACGACAACGCGAGACCACACTGTAGATGATTATCTTTAACGGGAAACAACTATGCACACGAAGTGGCCAGCTCGATCTCCGGACTTGAATCCTATCGAGCACATTTGGGATGCTTTAGGGAGACGTCTAGCTGCTCTCAATCTGCCCCCCTCAGACCCTTGCAACTGCTTTGCAAGACCAATGGCTCTCACTTCCTATGGAACTGATAGAGTGTATAAATGAAAGCATCACACATCGCTGTATTGCTTTTAGAGGCGACCATATTCCATATTGAAGGTACTTTCCTATAGCAAACTGACACCTTCGATTTGTTCATTTTATACATGTGCTAATTTCCATACTACCATAATTGCCTGGTAATTAATTTTTATGTTACTTCATACCTTACTATGTGTTGTATATTGTGGGTATGTTTCATAAAATTCTACGTGTAACTTTTTCAGTAATCGTGATTTTTTCTTAATTTATGATAACTAGTGTATTTTGCTCCAAAGCTTCTTTTTACCCTCACTACGAAAGATATCGGTCCTGTCATTCTGTGATCACTCACTCTCATCCAGTATATATAAGTCTTGAATTAAAAATAGGTTCTATTCAAAATTTGATTGTCCTGTTTATGATGTTTGGGAATGCTGTGTTGAAAATCAAATATCCAGAAGTAAAAAAAAAATGGTGATTGCACAGTAAAGATGCTGTGTCTGATATGATTCTCTCTGCAGACAAGTTTCTTCAGAATAAATATTAGTAAATATTCCATCATATAAATGTAGCAGCTTTATGACTGCTTTTTAAATATATGAATGTAAGATCTATATCAGCAATAATTTACTTTTTTGAATGTCATATATACATGCATTTTAGCCAATATATATTTAATACAGAAAATTTACATTTATACATACCTACAAATTTTAAAAGAGAAAAATGCTCTACAATGCATAAATTATACATTATAATTCATAAATATTCTTTCTCAAAAGTAAATAATACGAGAACAAAAGAAATAACCTTTCTTTTGAAAATTATCAAAGAATTTTATGCTTAAGGAAATTTCAAATCTTAAAGTGTACATACGCTGCACATAACCTTACACCTTGGTGTGGTGTGGTGTTTTTAATTATGGCAAAGCACACTAGGGCTATCTGCCTAAGGGGAGGGATGCCTTCGTGGAGGACTTTCTAAGGGAAACTGGCTCGTATACACGTTACACATAAGGAAAATCACGAAAACACCCATGCAGCCAGCCCGTTCGCGGGATTCGAACCTCGGACCGAACTACCAGTGTTCAGCAACTTTACCACTCGGCCGCTGGTGGGCGCCCTTACACCTTGGCTGGATACACAGTATAATTATAGTGAGAGTAAGTCTCTCTTGTATTTTTAAACCATCATCTAAATTTCTATTCCCCTAACAATTTATAAATAAGTTTTACTAAAGATTATGAAAACATGTTTGATTTTCTTAAAAGAGGTTAAATCACGGCACTCAAGGGCTATCTGTCTTTGCAGAGTACATTCTCGAGGAAATGTGTATACTTAGTTTACACACAGAAGAAAACCACAATGGTGCCAAGCAATCAGCCCAACAAGCCACTTTGAAACCAAACCCATGATGAACAATATTTAGTGATTTTATCCACTCAACCACTTACTGAAATAAATTACTTCTGTAACACTTCTGAACAAAATGCACAACAAAGTTTCCACCTGGTTAAGATAAGTGTGATTCTTTAAAAAAAAAAAAAGCCCCTCACTTTTAATTTAACCACAGTAATGATAGAAAATTAAATTCTATTAAAAGCTAGCAATTCTAAATAGTGAAAGTTTAATTATGTTCAAATGTTAGTAAATTAATAGCAATTAAGATTTCAGAGAACAAAAATTCAGTAAGATATAGGTACCTTGCTGTAAATATAGAGCTCCTCAAAAGGCCTTTAATGCTCACAGAAAAGTATGGATAAGCATTGTAAAAAATCAACAAAGAACAGTTAGATGTCTCAAAACATGTCACTAAATGCAGTGCACAAAAAAAATCAAACTGAATCCATCAGTATTTTCGCTAATATTAAAGAAAGCAAGTCTAAATTTTTGTGACTAAGCTTATCTTCAACTAACTATATTTAATAACCATTCTCAACAAATTAAATCTGACACAAAAGCAAAACGTAATTTACATTTTCAAATTTTAGAGATGAATGAAGGAATTTTTCTATAATTTTTTAGTCAAGCCTTATTATAATGGATGAACTACTATGTGTTTTTATCAAAGAATATAAGACAAATTAGCCGAATCAGGCTTAAACATAGAAGTGTTATATTTTTCCCTTGATAAATAATGCATAATGTTATGATAAATATCTGAAAATATAAAATCTAGTATCAGCTCCTGTGCATGGATAACAGATCAACAAGATAAACAGTCCAAAGAAAAATTTATAACATTCTTTAGAAAGATGAATAAAGCTTTTCAGCACATTCCAATAAACCATCAACTTCATAGGATTTCAGTGGAAGAGCCTAATTTTCTACACTATTTAATTAACAATAGGGAATATTATTCTGTAGCCTATATCAATAAGCTGTCAAGAGTTAGATATGAATCCCTTTTAGAAATACTGCAATGAGTAAATTGAGGTGGCTTGCTTTTTATGAATCACACTTACCTTCAAAAATGCAGTTTGTTCTCTCTCCTCTTCCACATATCATATCAGCCACAATAAAACTGGTCGTCATCACTCTTATGTACAGCTGCAGCTGTCTACTTCTGAAGCAACATGACAGCAGTTGATTTTGCTGCATTTTTTCAGTAGCAGTAGAAACTGGTAACAAACAGTTTTAAACAGCACCCTGATAATCATTGCTGCCTATGTCATCATGCCTTCAAATCTAAATGGTGAGAAACTATAACAGCTCAGGGGAAATGGAGTTTTTGCACCATTAACCCATTAGCACATTATTCAGTTAATATTAAATTTTGACATACATGGTATTTAACTTTGTTTTATATCTATATATAGTCGCTCACAGTAGTATTTCAATAAAATTATATCATTATATAAAATTCTTATTATACAGCAAGAATAAAAAATTTAAATGAAAATATAAATTCAACTGATAATTTTATGGACAAAGTGGGAGCAATTATTTATAGAAGTCTGGTCCCTTGTAATTGTTATTAAATCTTTCATACCCAAGTGTAGGTTCTATTCCGAGATCTCATTAACAGCTGTAGGAATTTTTTTCCTTCTCTTATTAAATTAGTAAGTCCGTGTAATGGACAATTATCAAAATTTAGTTTCAAATAGAAATCATTTTCTATCAAAATAGAAAAATGTTTTAACTACGCAGCTAAGCTTTTACATGCTGTCATGTTTTCTTTCATTGCTGCAGTTGTTTTCTGTTAAGTCTGGCAAGGGGAAGCTATCTTAAATGGCAAAGGAAGGCAGGGTTGCCAGATTTGGCATTAAATCACCTATTTGACAACAAAACTGGCGATATGCCATAGACAGATGAAGAACCTTCTAGAACGAATTCTTACCAGTTAGGCCCAGAATCTTCTCAAAGGCAGGCTGAAAGCTATATAAGCCCTGCA